TTTGCAATCGTATTCTGATTGCAATAAATTGTCTCGTTCTGGGAGACATGCACAGGCAATGTCTCCCGGAATGACACATGCAGACCAACAAGAGTGCACAATGCACTCTTGTCGGTCAAAGTTCCGCATTCAAGTTATGAATGCGGAACAGTATGCCATTCTGGGAGACATGCACAGGCAATGTCTCCCGGAATGAGACACTGCGACCGTCAGGAGTGCATATTATCATCAAAAATTCAAAAAAAAACATTTTTCTTTTTTCTTTGGCGAAAAATGTACTTATTTTTTTGAAATTTTCGAAATATGATTTTTTCGGGAGACTTTTTCAAAATTTTAATATGATAAATATGAGTTATTTTATGTTCTCTATTTGAGAGTCTGCTTATTTTTGAGTATTGAGCAAGATTGAAAAATGAGAATATTTAGGAACATAATAAATCGATTTATCTCGTCATGTAGTTCATATTTTCGCGTTCTGAGAGCGGAAAACGCATTTTTTGAATGCGTAGATTCCGAATCACACGGAAAAAATAGGTTTTAATAAGAAAAATAGACAATTTATGAAGTAACAAAGCACATAGTATTATAAAAAAGAAAAACATTTTTCTCATATGAAAGAAAATATAACGTATTTTTTACAGAGCGTAGGTATATATCGAGCCAATTCACACCATAAATTCTTTTCTCGTTCTCGGGCCTATAAACAACCTGAGGTGCACAACAATATTAACTTATACTGCTGTTATCTGGATTTGAATCCTCAATTGAGAGAATTCCAGATAACTTCAGTATAAACAAACCATATACATGTTTCCTCCTTGCTTCTAGGCCAAGCATAACAAGTACATTACCTTAGAGCAAATCTCATTCGGAGTTTCTCATTTAATGAGAGACTCCGAATGAAATTTGCCTATTTGATTAATATTGTGCTTTATGAGATGCAAATTCTGATGATAAATATTGATCTAGAGCTTATATAAGATGCGAAGAAACTTCAAAAAAAGCTAACCGGTAAAGACAGCAACTTGCAACACCAAGTTGCTCACGTAGTGATTACAAGCATATCTGCAAGGCAAAGTCCTCAGGATGCAGAACTTTGCCTGCAATCAGAAAAGAGATTGCAGCAGAGTAACCGGTAAAGACAGCAACTTGCAACACCAAGTTGCTCACGTAGTGATTACAAGCATATCTGCAAGGCAAAGTCCTCAGGATGCAGAACTCTGCCTGCAATCAGAAAAGAGATTGCAGCAGAGTAACCGGTAAAGACAGCAACTTGCAAAGTCAAGCAGTTTCTGAGATTTTGATTTATAAATCATAAACCTTCATGCTTGATGATTTTGTAGAATTGTTAACTCATGTCATCAGTTAATGCTCACCTAAGGGAGGTGTTTTGCGGGAGCTGGGGGTATCTTGGTGAGTACTCAGGAGGCCAAGAAGGGCACCCCAACCGACATTTTGCTGATGGATTGAGTTCGCAACCATTTTTATAACCGTAAAAACCGTCGGGACAAAACAACTTGAATAATTGAATTTTTTAATGATAATGATTGTGAAATAACATGTAACTATAATTTAAGAATGCCATATTTTTGTTAAAAAAAATTTCGAAAAGTGAGAGATTTTCCGTTCTAATAAATATATTTGATAACCGGGGCGTCCCCCGGAATCAAATAAATTATCATATCGAGAATCGGAGATCCTTGCAGTTTCGATTTTTTCGAAAAGTGAGAGATTTTCCGTTCTAATAAATATATTTGATAACCGGGGCGTCCCCCGGAATCAAATAAATTATCATATCGAGAATCGGAGATCCTTGCAGTTTCGATTTTTTCGAAAAGTGAGAGATTTTCCGTTCTAATAAATATATTTGATAACCGGGGCGTCCCCCGGAATCAAATAAATTATCATATCGAGAATCGGAGATCCTTGCAGTTTCGATTTTTTCGAAAAGTGAGAGATTTTCCGTTCTAATAAATATATTTGATAACCGGGGCGTCCCCCGGAATCAAATAAATTATCATATCGAGAATCGGAGATCCTTGCAGTTTCGATTTTTTCGAAAAGTGAGAGATTTTCCGTTCTAATAAATATATTTGATAACCGGGGTCCCCCGGAATCAAATAAATTATCATATCGAGAATCGGAGATCCTTGCAGTTTCGATTTTTTCGAAAAGTGAGAGATTTTCCGTTTAATAAATATATTTGATAACCGGGGCGTCCCCGGAATCAAATAAATTATCATATCGAGAATCGGAGATCCTTGCAGTTTCGATTTTTTCGAAAAGTGAGAGATTTTCCATTTTAATAAATATATTTGATAACCGGGGTGTCCCCCGGAATCAAATAAATTAGCATTACTAACATTCCTTTTTTATTTAAAATTTTCAATTCTTAAAACAAAGTTTTACTTCTATTTAATTATTTGCCATGAAAGTATAGAACATTAAAAATTTATCCTACTACCTCCACCCTTATAATACCTTCAAAAAAATTATATCTCAATTTATTTTCTATCTTTATATTGATGTGCTTATTCAAAAAACTAAATCATAAGTCTTCAGTTCTCAAAATACTCTCAAATTATCTCATTGCGCATATTTTGAAATTTGATAATTTTAAATTGTTAAAAAATTCATTAATCACAGTAAAATATCTATATACAACAATTAACTAACTGATTTCACATCTTGAACATTCGCATTTATTTAATATATTTGAATATCATTTACATCTTATTGAATTAGATCATAAATCACAGTTCCTTAATATACTATCTAGCTAATCATTATTGTTGCACAACTTACATTTGATTAAACACACGTGTATAATTCTGTACAACTCATATCTCTATCAATACTTTATTTATAATCAAAACAAAGGTTAAAATTGTATACCCTGTCACTGTAGAGTATTCTCCCAACTTTAAAGTGAAAATCAAAATTTGATATTTTAGTAATTTCATGTGAGATCGTTATTTTATAGGAAAACATACTGAAAATGTTTATAAGATGTTTCTCTATCATATGCCAAAATATCATGGCTTAAATGCTCTCCTAAGTGTCTATAACTGAATTTTAGGGCAATAACCTTATTCTAAATGTTGGGAAAGTAGGGTATTTTATCAAAATAAAAAAAAACAGTCTTACAAACAATTCATTTACTGATTTATTCATTAAAATTGCTAAGAATTATTAACTTCTTCATTTACGTGAAAAAATTCAACTTTACCAAATTTCAATATCATATTGAACACTGATCAACATTTTCACATTCAGCCCATTCAGTACTTTTCTTCTAGACGATGAATATTAAACTACAAAGAATACTTAGAATAAAATCTTTTTTATAATAATATAACTAACTTTTTTTTCTTTTTATCAATGATATGAATAATATAACCATACACATTGTTATTGTGATAAATTTTACAAGTTGAAAATAATATCAGTCTAAATTTATAATCTCATCCAATTTTCAACTTATGTTACAAACATCTCATATATGAAATCTTTGACTATACAACAAGTATACTAAGGTCCATTATAGAAATTAGTAATTTACATATATTGTGAATATATAATTTTATTAAATACTCATATCATGATCAAACTCAAATATGTTCACACTCTATCCTAATTCTGATTATTTATATCAATAAATAGTTTATATCCTTATTTTTTAAGTGTTCATCATGTAAAGTACCCTATTTTGGCACTTTTTTTGCAAAAACCATTTTTGACACGCCCATAAATACAAAAAGCCTCTCCCTCTTCGTCGATTCAATTTGTTATCGTTTGTAATTGAAATGTTGGAGTGAATTGAATTGAAAAGCGTAATGTAAGATCTATTTGAAGCTTTCATTGGATTCATATAAGTAACAAGTAAATCATAGGACGGTTTTTGGCTCGAATGAGTTATTTATTTCTTGGGAATAGATATTTCATAATATAAAATTGCAACTTTAAGCAATGTTCTTACTCTTAAATCAATGCTTTTGCTAATTATCTTTTAAACTGTCTGATATTTTATAAAATAAAATATATTGATTGCAAAATACATTTAAATTTAATTCTGTAGAAGTTTTTGATAACTATGTAATTTATAATAATAATTGTATTATTCATTTTATTCGAATTTATTTAATATTTAAGAGAAAAATCAAATTCAATAATGAAGATTTCAAAAAATTTAGAAAAATAATAATGTCAGAATCGAAAATAATAGAATGCTTATCATTTTTCGATTTTTGAAATAATTTTGGGATTTTATCTTTCAAGTAGACAGGTTGTTCAGATCAGTGACATAGAGGAAATCCAATTTCCAGCGTTTTATTCCCAATCTTATTTGTATTATACCGAATTTCGAACTTAATTTTATTCAAATTCAATAATTAGTGTGTCACAAACCAGATAGATATAAACAAATCACAAATTTTGATAAAAATTTGCTTAGTTGAATTTATTTTCCGGATTTATTCTCAACATTTTACAAAAAGATATTCTTGGTTGCAAATATAATTACTTTATTATGAGAATAGGCATTAGTTCTCGAATCTCTGCCCAATCTTAAGAACTTGCATATTTCAAAAATCTCGTCCGTGTGCTAGATACGTGTAGTCTATACATTTACGTCAATTTTACTAAATGAGCAGTATCACACTTCTGACAATATTTAATTCGATCAAAGGACTTTCGAATGACAACGACACGTCCAAAATTAGAGTGTTCACAGACGTAATGAAGGAATTGGCTTCCTTTTTACAAAGTAAATATATTGTTATAATGTATGTCTTCTACATATAAATTAAAGATTTTTTTATGAATAAAATCTCCATATTACCACTATATTTCAGCGATTCCTTGCATGTCAGTTTTATGGCAAGTGACAAACATGTTTCCATTACAAAAATTAAAGCTGAAGGGAAAAATCTTGCAGAACTAACTTTTGTTTTATGAATGTGATGTAAAGAAATAAAATTTTTTTTTCTGCTCAAAAAAATATGAGTTCTAAAGTTACTGCTGAGTTGCAGCAACTGGAGAGCAAAACAAGATATCTCCGTGATACGCTTAACTCTTCTGTTACAATGAACAGCACAATGTTCGCGGATAAACCTTCTTTGAAAGAAAAATATGTTGCCGCCAAAATGAATCATATTAAACATACTTTCAATTTATGGAAGGATTCATTACTTCGCGAACTTATTACCGCTGACACGCTAACTCGTGTTCCAACTGGAAATTCTCCAAAGAAAGATTCCGTTAGAGCCTCCAAACATCAGACTTCGAAGTCTCGATCCATACATAAGCACTCCAGCAACCTATGCGCTTTGAGTCCTAGTAAATATTCTCCAACCAAGGCCGAATCTGGCAAATATTCTCCAAAGCGCTCAACTACAAGATCTTCCAGCAGATCTCACCACAGACATACATCACATCATCATAGATCTCGCGAAATCGTCCCTTCTGAGCAAGAGTCGATTGGATCTAAGTATGACTACACTGCTTCAGAGCGTAGTGTATCAAATTATGATTACGACAACGGATCTGTCTTCGACTATACTGCTTCTGACCATGAAAATTCACAAGAAGACGATGCCGGCTCAAAGTACGATTTTACTGTCTCAGATCAAGAATCAAACGGCGAACTTTCAGATGGTGATCGTTTCGATTACACAGCTTCAGATCATCCATCACAAGTCGAAGATGATGATCTTCCAAGCGACGGTTCCAAATTCGACTATACAGTTTCAGGGGATGAAGGCTCACAAGCATCTTATGCATCAGCAACTCAACAACCAACAAAAAGAAATCATCGTCAATCAAATGGATCAAAATACGATTATACAGCCTCAGAAGAGCCACGCCGTGAACACCATCATCACAGAAGTCCTACTAAACGACGCCAATTACCAAATGAAGATACAGCTTCTTCAGCATTTGATGAAGAACCAAAACAGAGGACATCTCCTTCAAAGATGACATGGCCTTATCCTAAACCAGTCAGAACTATTGCGAAAAAGCCAGTTCAGGAATCTCCAAAAAAAGATCCTTCGTCGGCGCCGTTAGAAAATGAAAATGAGGCACGCGACGCCGACGCTAATCATGACAAGCAGTCGCTGAGCGAAGAAATTCATGAAAACGATATTAAAATTACTAATGATTTAGATATCTCTCACATTCCTAAACCACAAGAGCCAACCAACGAAACAATTATCAACAGATCAATTAACGAATTACATCCGGCCCAGGAAGAAGAAGAATATGCCGAGGAAGAAGATAATGAAGAAGATTCCGATTTCTTACATGATTATCTTTGGAATAATGACTTGCCAAAGTATATCCCATACGAGTTCGACAGCGAAACAGATAAAGCTCATATCGGAAGATTTAAAGATTCACTCTTCCCAGATACTCGCGAGAGGAAGGTTAAGTTTGAGAAATGAAATTTTCACTCATTGTGTTCATGTTTTAATTCTTATTTATTTTGAATTTAAAATTTTCATAAAAATTATTTAAATCTATTACTAGAAATGGAAGAAACTTTGTACGGGTAATATATCAGTGTTTTGTGGGTTACAATTTCTCTCAGAAACGTTAGAATGAAACGAGAAGATTTCTCAAATTTAGCTTTAATGAAATACATTTACTACTTTGACTTGCATTCTTTGAAATGTTGGAGCAGATGAAGACCTAATAGGTTATAATGATGGATATTTGTAGCTTATTTCTGCAGATTAGCACAATTATTGTCTTAGACGCTCTGGAAGATCATTAATTGGCTGTGGCTTCTTTAATTCTATGTATAAAGAAACATGCATCATTAAAGTATAACCCTGAATCGTAAATATTGTGTGGGAATCAATCCACCATGAAGAGAAGATGCAACGATTAGAGGTAGTTCATTAAAAATAAATACAAATGCTTCATTATTTTTAATATTCTTGAATATAGATGTAATTGAGGGGGACAATAGAAATTACACTAAATTCTAAAAAAGATATCTTTCTCTTCAATTACATTTTGTCCCGCAGTTTAATTAGTAATGCCTGAAAAGATCATCCATATTTTAATGCTCGGAGCTGATTACTATGGCAAGCTAGCCATTACATTACGGTTCGTTAAAGGGAGTGACGATGAAATGATTCCAACACTTGAAGACACTTTTCAGAAAAACATTTCTGTTGATGGTGAAACTTTTGTTTGCGAAACCACCGTTACACCTAATGGGGAAGACGCGGAGGCATTAATATTACATTTAATTAAACAAAGCGATGCCTTCGGAATCGTTTATTCAGTTGATGACAAGTTTACTTTCGATTACATTAGTAAGCTTTATGACGATATCGTCCGCATAAAGAAGACTAAGAATCCACCATGTGTCATATTTGCAAACAAATGCGAACTTCCAGCACCACATGCCGTCCCAATTGAAGATGCTAAAGCAAAATCTTCTAGATCATGGAACAACACTGAAATTATTGAAGTTTCAAAAAATCAAAATGATAACATTAACAAAGGCTTCGAAAAAATCTGTCGCCTTGCTTTGAAACAGAATAATTCTAAGGATTCTAGTAATGGATATTGCGAAATTCTATAAGAACTTCGACTAAACGTTTAAATTCGATGTTAAATAAAGAAAACTAGTTTAATACCGTGTTTCAGAAATCAAATTGAAGTGAAAAGTGTTTTATCTTTATCTTTCTTATTTTTAGAATTGGCATCTAATGTAGATATTAGATTTTTACTTATGTAAAAAAGGTACGAATAATATGTATAAGTGCATTCACAACTTGACCATAATAGTTGCTGTTATGAACAACTAAGCTATTTGTATTGAGAGGGTGATCACTTATCAAAAAACCAAACAAAGCTGTAAAATGGAAGTACTCTATGGACAAATATTAAGATATACGAGAATGGTAAAAAGAATATTGTACGTTCTTAATAGAAATAAAGAAAGATAATTGAATCAATCAAAATATCTCAGAATTGCCAAGTTTGGAGTCTTAGAAAAATTTATATAGAGCGTTTTAATACTAATATCTAATATTTATTAATATAAAAAGAACTAGTATTTAAAATTAATGATATATATAAGAGTTAAGAATTGATCTTATTAAAGAACCACTCAAATATGGTGCCCATTTCTTTGCTTCTTCCTCAGTGAATATTCTGAGTGGATGTCCTTCAGTATTAAAGACCCATTCTGCTGGAGAAATTAAACTTGAATCACTGAAGGTCAAGTACAGGTATTTCAAGGTCTCAGCGAGGAAATAAGAGTCTTGCGGAGTTCCTGAGTGCTTATCTCTTGATTCAACGTTCTGAATCCAAGCGAAACCTTGGGCCATCCTTGCGTATGTGTTAATTGCTTGGAACATCTTCCACGAATAGTCTCTGAATTTAGGTAATCCGGTGAATTTGAACATTACACATTCAGATTCGACAGATTCTGGTCTGAGTTTGTAAGTAGGATCACTTGCTCTGAAATCACGGTCTTTAGACTGAACGAAATCCATGATTTCTGGTCCAACACCTGTTTGTGTTGATGCATAAGAATAATAATAACCAGTAGCTAAATCATCTGCTAGTTTTAGATCTTCTGCTGCACGTGGATTATCTTTTACGGTTCCTACTGCTAACATTCCGCCTGCAAAAGTGGCAAGATGTTCTTGGTGCGGAGATGCTCGGCCCCCTCCGTAACTAATGCCAAGACCTGTGTAGTTGTTCTTTCCTGAATGAATGATAAGTTTTTCTTTGATATCTCTTGTAATTTCGAGATATTTATCCAAGAAATTTTTGGCATAACCACGAGTCATTACGTAAATCTTGATGATATACTCGAAGTAAGAGTCTGTACCTCCGCCAACGTGTAATTGGCCGCAAGAAGAGTATGGGCCGCTGATTAAACCATGGCCAGCTGTATTTTTCCAAATTGTATTGTATGTTTTCATGGCGAGCCTAATATATTTCGGATCACCTGTAATCATTGATAAAGCAATGAATTCTAATTGATATGTAGAAGTATCTGCAAGACTTGTACCTCCATTTGAAGTTTTTCTGGCTGTAAGCTTGCCGCCGTTATAAGATAAATCTATACCACCTCCAAAAATACCTCCTTCCATGAGAGGATAAACGGCGTCAGCGCATTCAACAGTTCTTTTTAAGAAAATTTCATCGCCAGTCAATTGGTATGTTGAAACGAAACCACCAACGAATCTTATAAGGAATTCAAATAAAGACCATGATCCAGAAGGCTTAAAATCATTTGCGATATAATCACGAGCGGCTTTGAACTCTTCTGTTAAGTTCATTATGTATAATGTGGATAGGGAATCAACAATTGTGAGTCCGGCATGTAATGTGTTCGTACAGCTTCTTGATCGTGGAACAAATTCATCTTGGCCCCAACAATACTTCCTATAAGGAGCCCAGGCATGCATAAAAGCCTCTTTAACAGCTTCTGCTTTTGCTTTATCTGCTGGAATTATTGGAAAACTTCTGTCGTATAATGGATTTGTTTTAGTACCTGTAATAAGTGGGTTATTTAATGTTGTTGCTGGATTTCCAATAGCTTCTTTTGGTATATCTTTTGGAATATCTTAATTTGAAGAATTAGATGTTAACAAATCACCCGAAAAATCAATATCAGAGGCCAATAATAACACAAATATCATTCCAGGCGCTAAAAAAGCTATAACCAAAATAAGAATTGAATTTCTATTCACCGAAGGTGACGATGCTTTCATCCAAATAGAAAAGTGATTTTTTTTGAAAAATATTCACAATATTTTTACATAGACTTGACATAAATTATATTATCCGAAATAGTCAGCTGACTTGTTTCAATAAATGAACGATTATTTTGGGTCACAAAATTTGAAAGACTCAGAAAATTGAAGGGGAAATTGCAAATTATCGATATCGTTTTTTCATCGAAATTTCTCTTCTTAAGCTATACTTGAATATGATGCCTTTTAAATGATTTATAATTGAAAGTAATTTCAAATTATTTTTGTGAAATCATGAATTCTATATTAACATTGTAATGATTCAATCCTAAATATAGTTCTTTTGGTTCACTCGAATCATTTGGAAAATGTATTTATATAAAAATTACCAGGTGGTACCTGAGGATTACCACAAAATTGAGAACTTTTACCAAAAATTGAGAATTTCCCACATAGATTGAGCTGTGGATATCTATAAAGATTATTACAACTCATATCCCGCTCAAAATAAATTTCAATTTCAAAAACATATATCAACATTAATATTTTTGAATTGTAGTATAATGACAAGCCAAAGAAATTTTATAAAATGTTAAAAGATGTTTATTTTTACTAATATGATTTAAATATAATTTTTGAAATGAAATAAATACTAACCCATTTATTCATTCCATGTGGTAAGCTTTTTAAACTTTGAATAGATCCATTGAGCTTACATTTTTTTTTATTTATATTTTAATTTTTTTTAAATAATAGGATAAAGATAATTATTTTTATTGCAACTAGTCAGGGACATTTAAAATGTATCAATAGATTGATAGCAGAAAGAATCCGGACTTCTATTTCCTTACATTTGAATTTATATCATTATCTTTTATTGTGCATTAAAGATGTGAAATAGCATTTAACGTTGCTATTTATCCCATTCTAATAACCATCTTGTCACTAGAATGATTGAAAATACATCATTACAAAATATGCTTTTATAGAATTAAACAATGCTGATTCATTAGAAGGAACAACGTTTAAGGTATTATTAAAATCAAACTGATTTCTTTTCTCTTTGAGGCCTGTTAATAAGACAATTATTAAAATATCCTATTCTCAATAAATTATCCCATTTGTGAGCCTTTAAATCATTCATCAGAGAATAGTTAGATTCATATAATCATTCCAAAATGTTAATGTTGATTTCCGTTCTTTATATAGAATATCTTTTGATTACTTAATATTGGGTTCCTTTAATTATAATCAATATAAATATTAAGCAGTCATATGATTGATTATCCAGAAAGATATATGAACTGGTTGATATTCTTTTTATTAGAGTTTCCTGCAGTTGAGGAAAATATTGATTCTCATAGTTATTTTGCATCTAGCAATTAATATTTTAGATTCAGGATTCCATTGATAGTATGTTCATACCAACATTATTACACTTTCACATGATATAGATGTTGATATCAGCAAGAAAGCTTATCTTAAATATGGAAGGAAAAGGGGACTGTCATTCATTACAAGGTATATCTTAATTCAAATTAACCGAATTTATTATTGAAGAGTTATGCTCTGCTTAAACAATGTTAATTTTATAATGTTGGGTCCCAGTTTCTAACTTTTAGAATGTTGAAGGCTCACATCTGATATGAATAAGTTAATTGATTAAGACTATTTGAATCAGTATGTCGAAGAGGCCTTGGTTCTTCTAATCAATGATAAAGTTTTCCATAGCTTAATGAGAAATAAATCACTGAATATTTTCATGAAAAGGCTACTTAATGGAAACTTACAATCCAATGCTGATGTCTCGAAGTTCATCCGCACCAAAATGGTTTGATGTTTTATTGAAGAAAACAACACCAAAAGCAAAGTAGAGAAAATTGTTAATATTACTGAGATAAATATTAATCCTTTCTCATAAACAAAATATTATGAATCAAAACCAATCAAGAATAAATTGCATCGTAGAGAGTCATATTATTTAGTGATAATAAAATAAAAGTCTATCTGAGTCATTATTGATTTTGACTTATAAATTTTTTGACAAATAAACTCAAAAATTTGACATAATTTTTTTCACATACAATATTCTTATTAATGGCTTATACTTTGGTAATATTTCCTATTACTATCTTTAGTAGGAAAGCATTGGAAACATCGTTAAATGAAATCGGGCCATTAATTGAACTTTATATTCCGAAGAAAAGCATTAATCAAAAGAGACAGAGTTACGCTTTGGCCCGATTCTTAGATAAGGAAACTGTTGATAAAACAATTAAGGAATTTGATGGAAAGGAGATTAATGGCGTTAAAATTTGTTGTCGATTGCTTGAGAATGGCAGATTAACTAGTAAAGATAAAGCTGATATCAGCAAATCAAATTTACCAGTATACTTAGAAAATATTGAGAAATCTCTTTCAAATGAAGTTTATTTAAAATATGTTAAGAGAAAAATGAATTCAAAAGCAACAAAATTCGAAGATAGGTATCTTTCTGCAACTGCTTATCCAAAAGGAATGGAAGAATTTGCTTCGAAAGACCAAAGAGATTTGAAGCCTCTTGGACATGGAAAAACTTTTTGGTCATGGCAGTATGTTCCTCAAGAAACTATTAACAAAATTATCAAAAAATAATAACAATAATATTTTTAATAATTCAATTGACAACAAGTGATAAATAAAATCAAATGGCTGAACATCACTGACTAGTTTATAAGTTCTTCTTTGTTGTATTTAAATTTTCCAAATATCCAATCAAAATTTGATTTGGAAACAATGATATGTATTCTATCTGACACTGAACATATACTAACGGATTACCATTCTTTTAAAATCAATTTTGTTTACTGTTAACGTAATTTTTTTTTTTTGGTTTTAACTCCAGAATGAGAACTGTAGTCGGTAGATGCTTGGGCTTTATTTCATACTATGGTTAGATGTTTTGAGATAGAAATAAATTAATTTTTTTCTGAAGTAATTTTTTATTTTGATTCATGCTATGGAGGTATCGCATAATGGGATAGTTAAATTTGAATAAAATATGAAATCTGATCAATAAATGTTTTGAGAGGAATTGAATCAAATAGAATGCTAATACTCCTTATTTTTCGAATTATTTGCTGTTTAAATAAATTTATAATCTTGAATTGTCTGACATTTTGACAGCCAATAGGAACATATGACTGTCAAAATAATTCCAACTTCATTTCTCATAATGTTCCTGTTTGCAGCTCTCACCGCAAGCCGCGTACTTCATGATCCCATAGAAGACTTGCTAAACCCAAAGGGTTATCCTATGGGCTGGAAAGATTGGCATTATCGTCCAAGAAAGTCGAACACAATGATTGATACCAGACCATATATTAGATTTGGCAAAAGAGTTTGGGATCGTATTAGAAATGAAGACGAAACAAACGGAATCAGCCGCCAGGATATTATTAACGCTATCAAGATTGCACAATACCTCTTAACACACCAAGAACAAGAATCCAATGGAATCCCAATCACACCAAGTCAACAAGCTGAGTGGATTGCAAGAAAGATTGTCGAATATGCCAGAAGAAGAGCCCAGAAGAATGAAGCCAACGGAATCCCAATCACACCAAAACAACAAGCTGACTGGTTATTACAAAAGCTCATTGAATATGCCAGAAGAAGAGCTCAGAAGAATGAGGCCAACGGAATCCCAATCACACCAAGACAACAAGCTGAGTGGGTTGCAAGAAAGCTTGTTGAAATTGGCAGGAGGAGAAGAGGTCTCTAAACCTTTACTAAATACTTTTAAATGCTTAAGTATTTTTATTTTTTGATTTATTTATTGAATGTGATATCTGATTGCTCTGATCTGTTATAATATTGCATAAAAGACTAAATCTCATCAATCATTGTTAATTAAGTTTTCATATATATATAAGGTAGTCACAAAATCTAAGTAGTGAGGCTCTCAAAAATTGAACCGTACTCCATACAAAATTTGTGTACCCTCACTACTTAGATTTTGTGGCCTTCAATTGAGAGGTTAGTTTTGATAGAGCACGTTATAAAATTAAAAGGGAAAAATAAATAAAATTTAAACATTTAATTATATATAATGTAAGGAGTGTAATTCCAAATTTTCTAAAAACTATTCAAATTTGAGCATTTTTTTGGAAATAGTAAATCTAATATGTACATCTAATAACAACATGATTCATCACCTTTTCAAGCTCTGCAGTCAATTTTTTGAAATTTGATTGAAATAAATGTAGCAAAAATTACATTTCATTAGGGAATATATGAGTTTCTCTGGAAACAGGCTGATAAATTTTAAATTTTGGCCAATCAACATGAATGCATTGAGAAATTTGGATTGATTTTCTGGTAGAATCTGGAACAATTCAACCATGTATAAATGGATCATGTAATCATCATGAAATGTTAGTGTTAGAGTTCAAAAGAAACAGAATGAGTGGAAATCAAACACAATCTGAATAATTTTAAACGTATACAATCTTTAAGTTTGTATTTTGAATTCTACATATATGATTGTGTAATTTGTTCTTTCAAATTTTCGGATTCAGGCATGTTTTGATAAAATTCATTCCCAAAAACGTCAATTAACAATTAAATTTAGTGTATTTTAAATATATATACGTATTATATTTTATAAATTATATTAAATTCGCAAAATTTTAAGTTTTAAACAAAAATAAAAAATGTTCAAAATATGAAATTATGCATAGGATATTAAAATTTACATGTTAGCAATTTTTTTGAATTGCTTTCAATTTTCATATTGAAATTTTTAAGATTTTTTTCTGAAATAATAAGCAAGAATATCAACCTAAATAATATTAAATTCCATGCGTTAATTTCCCCTCAAAAGTCATTGACCGCCTCTCAATCTAGATTTTGTGAGTACTTTATATAAAAGGTACATTCACGAAAAGTGACACCCCTCTTCTTTTTTCCTAGGGTTACTGATCGCTTTCTTTCTGCTTGCCATGCCATAAATGAAAGAAATGATTGGTGCAGAATAATTTATTACTCCAATTGGCAACTATCTTGTAATATACAATTAGTTGCATTGTCAGTTATTCTCCAGCATTATTCAATTTAAGTTCAACTTCTTTAATTTAAACCATATTGCAGTGATACCCTCGCGTTGAGATAAGAACAAGATTATACATGCTAAAACCCCACATTAATAATCGAAATTTTGCAACTCCAAAATGCAACAACAGAATTCCTCATAATTTTGATTTTTTACTTACCTTATGATACATATTCAAATGACTTGAATATAGAAAAAGTTACTAAGATTTGAGGAAATTATTGCAATAAGAAAAAAAAAGTTGGTTTTATTATATAAGTTACTTATGAGTTAAAATGACCTCTACAATTAGTGTACAGTGCCTCATATAATCTTTGGCTATTTCTGATTTCAAATTTATACATTTTGATTGGAATATTTATAACTCAAATCTAGATGATAGTTACTACATTTATGTGAATACAGTACGTCTCCATTCATCTATTTACTTGTTGTTGTTGAAATAAAAACATTATTATTTTACTATCTTAAAATAAGAATTTTGTTATGGTATTAATATTTTTAACAACAATAATCTCATTATATCAACTCTTAAATGAGGTTTTATCAAATATGATATCAAAATCAAAAATTAGATGTTTTTTTATGAGTAAAAACGATTCCATTTGATGATTTGATTAATTATACAATACTTTGATTTTCCAAATTTTTTTCAAAATTGATTTTTTCAGGAGAAAAATCAAATTTTTGTTTTTCATTTTTGAATTTTTGAATTTTTTTTGGAATTTTGAATTGATCAATTAAGCAGAATGAGTTATGGGAATGCTTTATATATCATACAATGTGATGAATTAAAGATGAATCTTAAAAAATTATTTTAAATCACAAATATCATCCTTATTATCATTTGTACCAAAAAAGATAGTACTCAGTATTGATAAACCATGATCTATATTAGTAAAATACTTGAATAAAAAGTGTAAAAGACGAGTTTTTATTCATTTTTATATTAGATTTAAACGAAAACCTGTTTCATATTAATATCCTAGTCGAGAGATGAGATTTTATTCGTATTTGTTAGCATTCAATAGACATTCTAATCTTGAATTTTATATTTGACTTTAACTTATTAAAAAATGTGATGTTTTGCTTCGATTTCTGATTAATTTGAATTTAGAATCTCGACATGCATATTGAGTAATATCGTTTCTTCAGGAACTCCAAGATTTTCAAGAGACTTCATGCGATTTTTGATAAATGATAAGAACTCTCACTTACGAAAAATGGTTTATTGAATCTAAAATATTTGTGTAATGACTCATTTTCATTATACTATTTTCAGTCAAATCCTCAAAAGTTAATATTCAAATCTCTTATTTAGCTGAGAAACTGGATACTACATAATAAACCATATTCATGTAAGCTGGAAATGGTATCGCTACATTCAAAAGCTCCAATAATACTTCAATTTTAAACACAGAATATGAATATTGATTTTTACTTATATTTGAAATTACATTTGATATATATATCATAATCTGATGATTAATTGATAAAAATTAGGGAAATTAACATATAATTCACAAATCTTTTTATTATCTTAATAACTTTTCAAAATAAGATCATATTATTCATATTTGGAGCCTACTGATTCTAAATATCCTATTTATTTGAAAATCTATCGTTGGGAAGTCTCGTGCTTGTACCTTTTATATATATATATATATACACCGCATTTTCTACTCAACAACTAATAGTTCTTAAGAATATTCATTGTTTCATATCTTCCATCATTACATGATTGAAAAGCGATAGTGACACAATGCTTAACGAGAGCATATTATATAAGTGTAAATTGTTAAAGTCATTCTATAAAAAATTTGTTAAAATTATTATATATATAAAAAAGGGCAAATATTGAACCGTAACAACAATCAAAACTCCAATTTTATAAACAACCATGAAAAACAACATAAAAACAAACAAACAAATACAAACAAATAATATAATTTCAATCTGTAGATTTTTCCTTGGTAATCACAATTTTAGCGCTTTTTCCGGAACCAATTGCTATAGTACAAGGTGTTTTCTCAGGCTTATCAATTTGGATCGTATTAAAAAGTTCAGAAGTCGTGTGATTCTTCTTTGGCATTGCGAAACAAGCAACGATAGGAAGGTGATCTGAAGGGAAGTAGTCATGAGGGAAAGCAACATATCGCTGAAGAATTTCCTCTTCATTATAGGACTGAAGAATGGAAATTGGCCGTATTTTATTGACAGTGCTGTAAATGAAATCAATTGTCTTATGAAACGACGCTCCATATATTGTAAAACGTGGTGAAAGTCCGAATGAATCGTATACGTCGAAAAATCCATTTTGAACTAGCCATCTGTGGGGCGTAGTCTGTGATTCAGAATTAAAATCACCTGCAATGATGATATCGTAATTCGATGAATGCTGCTTGACAATATTTTTTGCAGCTTCGAGTGCTAAGTATAATTGGCTGGTTCTGACATCATCATTACCAGTTTGTTCCCAGTATAAATGAATGTTTACAATCGCGATAAATAAGTTTGGTGCCGACTTATGTTGAACGATCGAAATAATTGCTGTTTCATCGTGCTTTTTGAGCTCCGCAAATGATGGTAGTAGTTGAGCTTGTTGCATATTGCGATACTGTATGCACTCTGTTTTTATGACTGTAAGATGAGAATTTCTCACGAAAGTTGCTTGGCCATGTACCATTTCCCTGAAGGCTTCGTTGAGCTTCTCAGCTCTGCCTTTTTGACAATACGTACAATGAAATCCGCGCTCATGCATAAAAGGCTCTAATTTTTCTTTGTAAACAGAACCTTCTACTTCTTGAAGGCAAACAATGGATACAGGGAATTCTATTATTTGCTCTTCAATTAATGCAATCCGCTGATCTGCATTTAAGTATTTTGGTGGGGAAAATGGAAATCTGTCCGGGCGTACACAGTATGGCGCTAATATATTATAAGAGAGCAACATAAAGCCGTTTTTCTTGGGCGGGTTCTTTATTGGTGCAAAAGTACGTGCTTGAGGTTTTGGATTTTTTTGAACAAGTTTCCGAAGAAAGGGAATGAGGTGACCTGAATCAAGCTCACATTCTTTTGATAATGTTACCGCAAAAGGATTATTTGATACATCAAGTTCTTGTAAATTTTGCATTGAACCGAGTTCAAAAGGGATTTGTTCGATTACGTTATGTGATATATCAAGCTGCTTTAATGAATTGAGAGCGAATAGTGATATCGGGAGCTTCGTGATTCCGCAGTAGGATAGATTTAAAGTTTCGAGTTGTGTGAATTTCTCGAAAATTTTGTCTAATGTATAGCGAAAGCGGTAGTTATGAGCGTCAATAACCTTTGCATCCGAGCCCGCCATAGAAATAGGATCAGGTTGCTCTTGAGAATGCTGAATATCCAACGTCATATATTGCAAAGTTACTTATCGTCCAAAAATTAACACTGTAAATATTTTTTGGCGCCAAAACAGTTAAGGGTCCACTGTAAGGCCAAATAAGGCCTATCGTCGTCCCAAAAATATTGCTCGAGATGGTGTTTTACTCTTTTGAGATCCTTATCAGATATGCATCAATTTGATGCAGTATCGCAGTTCGAATCTGATTTTTTAATGTAGATATACTCTAACATTCTTGAAAAAATGCAAAATAATATTAATTAAGCTTTTCATTTCTGTATCATACACGAAACAAAATCATTCATTATACTAAACTTTATCAAAGTTTGAATAATGAAAAAAAAATATATCTAAATTTTTACATTGAGTCTGCTATTGATATGGTTAATATTAAATCTTGTAACAACGGGCATTGGCCAAAATAATACCCGCTAAAATACACAATTTTTTAAAATTTTATCAATTTGTTATGGTGCATATTTATGACAATGAATAAAATGCTTATCCTTCATAAGTAAATACATAATTTATGCTTAAACACAAAAAATAACACAAAAATTTTTGGCCAACATATCAAAACTAAGGATAATGTTTTGAATATATAAGCAATAATACTTTGTCTAGAGAATTAAATTTGTGCTATCTAATTGTCAATTCTTTGAATTTTTTTTTAATGCAAGATATCCCGGCATTGGCCTCAATGAATATAAACTACATGCATCATAATATTAGTTTGTAATAGCATAAAAGCGAAATTCCTAATTTCTTCTCAAATAAACTCCTTTTTTTTATTTAGGTACCCTATTCAATTTCTATCGTCACCATATGGAGAGGTCAGGCCCATATCATAAAACATTAAGTTTGGACTTACTAAGACATGTAAGAATTACCTTGCTTGTATAGGGGCATTAAATACTTTTAGATGCTAAAATATTCAAAATTAATTTAATTTGATATTCAAAATATGCACGAAAACGTAAATAAATACGGATCTAGCTCTCACATATCTCTATTTTAAGCATTGATAAGTATTTCTACATTCTATTTTAAAAAATATTCAAATTTCACAATATTCTTTTCATTGATAATTTACATATTAACGAGAATGATATAACTTTTCATGTGTTTAGAAGTTCTTAGCTTTAGTACTGTATTGTTGAAAAAATTATTGAAGACTTTTTTCTTTTTGAGAAATTAATGCAATAACCAAAGAGGAATTGCATATGCTGCGCACTAAAATTATAGAAATGTCTCTAATTAGACACAAATAGAGATATTCGGAAATAAAAATTTGAAATTTTGATCAAAAACGCTATTTTCTAATCATTTTTATTTTAACTATATATAAAGTATCTTTTTCTATAATTTATACTTGATGGTTTAAAAGACGTTTAGACTCAAAATTTTACTGCATTTCATGTGGTAACTATGCTTTATCACTAACTACCTCCTTGTTTCAACCCTGAACAATATATTATACCTCCCAATGCAGGTATTACTCCAACAAAATTAGCAATTTGGCTATTGTCTAAAATTTTCTCAAAGAAAGAGGAGTAAAGTCCCATTTTTAGAATTCGAGCTATATTAGAATGCAACTTAGACAAAAAGTTACAGTTTCAATACACATATTCAAAAAATTTGCATTCGAAATTTAAGATAAAGTACAATTTCCAAAAAAGAGTATCGAATCAGTGCACAAATATGCATTTACATGCTTACACTAGCTTGCACTAGTATTAATAATTTTGAAATTAATTTTCAAATTATTCCCATACCTTTTGCAAAATTATTATGCTTATGATTCTAAGCATAGTTAAGCGATCTCGAATTTGAATTGCTAAGAAAAAATAATTAGTAAAAAATTTGTCTATGCATTCTGTATGATGCTACTAACTATATTAGCAGCATACCTAAAATCTTTTCAATATTTTTGAGGGAATTTGAATGGTACCGGTTGAGAGCTTTTTTAATTAAGGTACTATTTCGATAGAATTTGAATGGTACCCCTTCAATTTTGTGAGGGACCCCTTTCATTTTTTGAATAGGGTACCTTAAATGAAAAAAGGACCTTAAATTCCTAAAAAAACATCGGAATTAATGATTGGAAATAGGTCAAAAAAATTCCTAATATAAAACTGATACTTAAGATAAAATCAAAATTCGAAAATATCTATTTTTCAAAACACGCATCCAAAAGCGAAAAAATTCGAAAAAATCATGTTCTTATAAAACTCGCCGATTTTGCAATTTTTATCCGATTTGAAGTGATAGAATATATTACCATCTTACAAAAACATATACTTCATTATTCCATTCACAAAATATTAATCAGAACACTAGGAAAAGTGGATTTTCGAAAAAAGACGATAACGATTATTTGCAAATCGCCTCTCAATTTTGAGAGACTTTCAATTTTTACAGTGGACCCTTAAAAAGTGACATATCTTATTTAAATCATGGAGCCAACCTAAGTTAATACATCTCATTTAAGGGTTTCGTTTTGCGAAAAAAACGTACAATACGCAATTTCACTAAAAAAACATTTAGCTAGCAATTTCGACCTTTGACTCCACTTAAGACGTCACTTTTTTAATTTTGCGGTATCATATTTTTGGAAAATCTTTATGAATATTATATAAAAAGTCTCTTTAATATCTATATTTCATATTTTTATCGATTTTTAAAATTTTTGCGAAAAGTATTCAATTATTTTTGCTATTTGGTCGGGTAAATGTCAGATTTGCGACATTTTCTGATATGATATTCAGATTCTACGTTGATAATAATGCTTATAGAACCCTCTTGCTATTGTGTCAAAATTGCGAAACCGATAGCAAAAATATCTCGCAATATCAAAATTGAGATATTGAGTGAATTATGCATTATAGAGATTAAAAATCTGATTTGTGAAAACATCTCATCAGTTTCTAGCTAATTCAAAAATCTTTACTATCTTATTCGATTAAAATGAAAAGGGAATAGTTTCATTATGCTTTAAATGACAGCCTTATAATATAATCATAGTTTTCGCTCAATATGCAGCATTTTTTTTTTCGAAATCTATGGTCAATGTCCTAAATACTGATTGCTTTGCATTCATATCTCTTACATTTTCTATACCCACATCACCATTCATTGCTATTCCTATCTTTTTCATTTTTGTTTGTTTCTCATAATTTCTCAAAAAACATGATAACTTGATATTTGTAAATATCATACTTTATAACGTAAATAAGAACTTGACCTATTAAGAAAAGCAGTAATGAAAAGAAAATCTGAAATTCATAAAAATTACAAGTTTCTGATGACAATTAGCTTAATTAAACCAGGTACAAGATTATATAATTGTATTTTCTATCCAATTATCCATATAATATCTTATCCAGAAAAAATAACTTGATTAATACCAAATGATTTTTTAACTAGTAAATAAAGTATTTTCTTTACACACACATTGTATATCATAGTTTTTTTTTTTTTGGTTTCGCAAAACATCCAAAAACAAATATGCTATAAAAGTGACAATTTTAGCAAAACGAAACCCTTAGTCTCATTGCAATGAACTTATCATTTCTTTTTACGATTTCAGGATTCGCTTATATACAGAGGAAATGTACAGTCGGTGGAATAAATAGCTACTTATACGACATAATATGCAGAGAAATATGTGTTCAATGTGAATGCATAACAAAATTTATGGTATATTAAGTTTTTGTTCTACATTTCGAAATCTTGATGTCTGAAAAAATATCGGATTTGGACACCACTTCGGGTACAAATGAAATATATACTACTAACACTTAAATGTAGCATGCTGCGTTTGATCTAAAACACTTCTAATGTTAGAGAAAAACTGACTTTTTTTTACCTTTTTTTCAGAATCAGCACATGAATATTAGAGTATTGACATCAATACTATATAAACATATATTATATCACATATATGCATTGCGTGTTGCATTAGAAACTGCTCAATGATTATTTGAATTACAATACCCCTAAAAATGTATCATGAAAGCGATAACAACTCATAAATGAGTATCATATCAGTACAGTAATCGCATTCTTCTTCTTCATCGTAGTTTTTGATTGTAATAAAATCATGATTTTTTTAAATCGATTGTTTTGAATGATATTTTAATCAGAAAAATGTTAAAAGTACACCATGCTTATTTGTGTTTACAGTTTAATAAGAGACGGAATTAATCATATAAAAATTTTTTTATTGTAAAACTCAAAATTCCCGTTATTTATTTTTAGGAATGACTTTTCTCAGTTCAGATTTAGCTGGGATAGCATCATTCAAAGCAATATCATGGTCTTATTTTGAAAATCTTTGTGCCGTCATATTGGCAGACAATACAGTCCATTTCTTTGATGATCGCGGAAATGAGTTATATCAAAATACCTGCAAACACAACGGTAGGGCTACATCAGTTGTATTTTCGCCAAAAACGAACATTCTCGCTGTTGGTTGGTCAGATGGTAAAGTTACAATCTGGAATAAAGGACAACTCCAAGAATCATCACAAATGCTTACTTCTTCCGTCAGCCTCTTATTCTGGCACCCAACAGAGTCCATACTCTTCTCTTCTGCAGAAAATGGCTCACTCTGTATTTGGGATTGCTCAACTATAATTTTACCTCTATTTCAAGGCAATGCTCCAACACAATTTTCAAAAGGTACGTTCATTCAAACAGAAGCACCATTCGCTTTCCTTACAAACGATGCCGGCGAATTATATTCGATTGATGCAACAGATAAATCAGTTACGAAGATATACGACTTACCAGCACCAGTTTATTCACTTGCATCATGTGCTGCAACGCGTAGAATCATTTCAATCGGCGGAGATAACTTAATGACTCAATTTTCTTTCCCACCATCACTTTCTAAATATTCGCAAACAAAGCTTCCTAGTGGAGGCGCTCCTACGCTTGTAAAAATCAGATCAGACGTTTACGCTTATAATATTGCAGATTCTATCACAATTTTCAACGTTCAAAACGACAATTCATACATCATTCGTTTACTCAACAATAAAAACGTCATTGCGTTCGATTTCATCCCTATTACAGGTACATTATACGCTGCAACAGATTCTGGCCAAATTATTTCATGGAGAGCTACAATGAAAGGAATATTTTCAAGAGCAGGATGGTCTGACCCATCTTCTATCGATTGCAAAGCACAAATTGAAAAAATTTATATGTCTCCTTACACTGGCTCGTTCCTTTCGACTTGCAACAACCGCAGACCACTTATGTTCAGAGTTACAAACTACGAGACAAGCGTCAGCCACGAAGTTGTCGTTTGGCAAACTGCATCTGACATGATTCAGCTTGCAGGCCAAGATCCAACCAAAATTGCATATCCTGTTGAACGTATTGGCATTAGTAATAACTATGTTGCCACAAGCTCAGCAATTTCTACAGATATTTTCACGATAAGATCAGGAGGCTTAGTTCCTTTCTCCAGAATGAACATTAACACACCTCTTGTTGTCATATCCAAGGAATGCATTTACGATTGCACATCTTCAGCTTTAGAAGTCAGAAATTTGCAAGGTACAGTTAAATTAACTATTTCACTCTCAAATTCACCACCAAAATTCATCAAAGTCAATGGCAAGTACATCTGCATTATGTGCGAAGACATGTCTTTCTTCTTATTTGATATATCTCCAAGATCTCCAAAACTCGTCTTCTCGACCTTCTTCTCCACTCCTCTTGAGACATACAGGATCAGGGATATCTCAGTTTCCGCCGGCGGCTTCTGTATCTCCGTTTCTGTCGATGTTTACGAAGACCAGCATTGGAGGCCATATCCGTCACTTTTCTTACATTCCCCTCAATTTGACAAAACCGTTTCTGTTGAATTTGACGGGCGTGTACCTATTGGACATTGTTGGGATTCAGAAGACACTAGATTATTGTGTGTCAGCGCCGCACCTTTCTCACCAGATTACGAGAGTAACATGAGTGGTTCTATGATTGTTCCTTTGTTTATTTCCGATGCATTAGATGTTTTCAAACAAACAACACTTTCTGTTTCGAACAATGCCATTTTGTGTGCTGTTGAATTACCACGTGTATTCATACAAAGTGCGCATGGTGTTGTTCCTACTCCTTACGTTCTTCCTCAGTTCGAAGGCCTTGACAATGCTGATGATGCATCAAAGAAAGCTCTCATGGAATTGAATTTCCATTTGGCGACAGGAGACATCGATTCCGCATTCAACGCCATCAGAGGCATAGAGAACAAAGGCATCTGGAGATCACTGGCTCAGATGTGCGCTCAAATGAGAAGAGTTGATTTGGCGGACATGTGTTTCGGAAGAATGGAAGAAGGCGCATCAGCAATCATGTTGAGAAAAGTCAAAGATACAGGTGATGACATCGCAACATTGACTTTAGTTGATAACCAGCTTGGTTTATATGACGAAGCGAAGAAAATCGCAACAGAAAACAGAAGATTCGATTTGGTTGCGAAGACACAAGCATCTCTTGGTGATTGGCAAGGATCTTTGAACACAACAATTGCTTCTGATAGAATACACAAGAATACTCGCGAATACAAGATCGCGAGATCTCTTGAAGTCAGAGGAGATTTAGGAGAAGCAATCAAACATTACGAGCAAAGTGGAACAATTGCAACAGAATTACCTCGTTTGGCTTTGCAGGCTAATGATTTGAAGTTGTTTTTCGCGTATATAGCTGATAGAAGTGTAACAGAAATTCCTCCAAGAATGTTAGTATGGATTGGAAGATTCTATGAAGCACACAAACAAACGGATCAAGCTCTTGAATACTTCGATTACGCGAATGCCACAAAAGAAAGCGTTAGATTACTTTGCTGCACGGATAGATGGGATGAAGCAGCAAAGATTGTCCAGAAATCTAATGATAGATCAGTAATAACAAGCTACGCGAGACATTTGATGAAGAGATTGGAGTATTTCATCAAACCAGAAAATACAAATCCACAAGTTGACACTGAAAAAATGAAGCACGATATCATCGAATTGTTTAGACGAGCAAGGCAATTTGCACAAGCCCTTGAGTTCGCAATACAATACGAAATGATTGATGATATCCTAGCTTTGTCATTTTCAGCACCACCTGCAATTGTCTGCAAAGCTGCTCAATGGTTTGAACAACAGAAAGAAGCCAAAAACGCAATTCTTTTGTATTCAAGATGCGGAAGAATGAACAGGGCTTTGACTTTGTGCTTCGTGTCTAAACAATACGACGCATTGGACGAAATATCAGATACTTTAAACGCAAAGACTGATAAAGGAGTTTTGATAAGATGTGGTAATTATTTCGTCGAATCTGAAAGATGGTCAAAAGCTGCTCAATGTTTTGTTTTGGCCGGCCAATTTGACACTGTTATTCAATTGTGCAATGACCACAACATTAAGATCAGCTCTCACATTCTTCAAGATTTGGCAGAGACCGTTGCCGACCCACAGATTATCCAAAGATTCGCTGAACTCTGCGAGCAACAAAGCGCATTCCAAATTGCTGCTTCTTTGTACGTGAAATTGAAAGACATGCAAGCAGCAATCAAGGCTTTGATAAGAAGTGGAGATACAGAGAAAGTTATCAAGTTCGCGAAATACATGAGACGTCGCGAAGGATACATTCTCGCAGCTAACTACATCAGCACTTTGAATCCAAGAGAAAGTGAAAACAATTTCGACACTGTTGTAATGTTTTACAACAAAGCTCAGGCTTATGATAAATTGGCAAGATTCTATGAAAGCTCTGCACAAACAGAGATTGATGAATACCAAGAATACGAGAAAGGATTGGACTTACTCGCAAAGGCTGTTGATGTACTCCAAAATAACGAAGCAAGCAACAGAGAGCAAATTTTGGAAACTCTCAATGCAAAGATTCAATTAATTCAGATTTATGTCGCTGCTTCTCAGAGCGTCAAAGAAGACCCACAAAAGGCTTTGACTGCTTGCGTCCAGTTATTGAAGACAAAGGGAATCGAAACATGCATGAGACCTGATGATATTTACATACTCATGGTCCAATGCTACGTTCAACAAGGAAACTTAAACTCTGCTCACAAAATTTTGGAAGATTTAAGACAGAGCGGAACAGATATTACGTGGTTCATGGATGTAGAAGCAATTCAGAAGATATATCAGGCTGTGGGAGATACCTTCGAAGCAAAGGAAGGTGAAGGTGAAGATTATAGCGAAGTTATGGACTTAGATGATGCTGATGTTGAATAAAGATATTTTTTTCTAATACTGATGTATTTATTAATTCTAACTTATAAAGAAGATTTAGTAGTAAAATAAACCAATTTTTTTTTCTTGATTAAATATTTTATTTGAGTATGTTATGCCAAGACATAAAATTATATCAGATCTGTAAATCATCCAAGTTTTGAGTCCCATTTGTTAATGTAGTCAATGCGCCATTAAACGTAATTTTAAATTTTTGTTTTGCCATTTGATTTATCGAAATAGCATCTGTATACCAAATGCATCATTCCATGATATCATGTGATGACTAATAACTAGATATACAATTCAAAATCAATTCAAGACTCTAATATAATTACCTTAAAAATCCAAAGAAGTGACACGCATGCTTTTAGTCTAATAGTTTGATCATGAATTACTTTTTCTATGAAAAAAACGAAACCTATACTAAAATTTCTCTAATTCTAAGTTGAAAGATACAAATTTCACTCAATTTTTGAAAAAAGTTAATGAACAAATTGTTGTTCTTTTAATCTTCAGAATTTTTGAAGTCGAATTTTGAATTTTGAATTTTTTTTAAATTTTCCAGCCCTTTTCCTCTTAAATTAACAACATTATATACAGAGCATTTAATATAACATCAAATTTTGATTTTATAAAGTTACGACTTTTCAAAAGTCGAATCAGGTCATGTATTCGAATACATTGCTGCTCACATCAACGATTATATTAAGAATGAAAACTTCTTCGATACTTTTGAGGTAGAAGATATCAGAACAATCATGAAATATTCACATTTGACAGCTGATCAGTACATTACTCTTCTCAAGCAATCTCATTCAACTATTAACGCAACAAAATTATATGTTAGTACACGAAATGCTAACGTTACTATCCAAAATGTCGAAGAAATTGTATCAATTCTTAAATCTCTTAAAAAATACATGAAATTCAATATATTTGATGGAATCATTGATATTTTAAATCAAAAGGAGAAAGAAATAAGTGACTCTACAGAAAAAATTAAAGAACTTCAAGAAAAATTAAAAGAATCTCAAATTTTATCCAAAATCGCAGAACTTAAGGATTCTACTAATTTTGAAATCGTTTACAATTTCCTTGATGAACTTTCAGAGAATGGAAATCAAGAAATGATGTCAAAGGCTTGTAAAGAAGGACTTTGGAAAAAGGTTGCTCCCGCAAAAGATGAAGAAAAAGATCCTAAGTCGAATGTACTTCATGTCGCTTGTGAAAAAGGAAATCTCAGACTAGTTAAATCACTAATAGAATGTGGATGTTATATAGAAGAAGATGATTATCATTGGCGTACTCCACTAATTATTGCATCAAAATATGGTAATCTCGAAGTTGTTAAATATCTCATCTCAGCTGGAGCTGAAAAAGAAGCACACGATTATGATAGAAATACTCCACTTATTATTGCATCATGTGGGGGCCATCTTGAGGTTGTTAAATATCTTATCTCAGTTGGAGCTAATAAGGATGCAAAAAGTAATGATTTACCTACTCCACTTATTGCTGCATCATGTAAAGGCCAACTTGAAGTTGTTAAATATCTTATCTCAGTTGGAGCTGATAAAGAAGCAAAAGATAATGATGTTTTTACATCACTTGTTGCGGCAGCAGGATTTGGTCAACTTGGAGTTGTTAAATATCTTATCTCAATTGGAGCTAATAAGGATGCAAAAAGTAATGATTTACCTACTCCACTTATTGCTGCATCATGTAAAGGCCAACTTGAAGTTGTTAAATATCTTATCTCAGTTGGAGCTGATAAAGAAGCAAAAGATAAAGATGGACGTACTCCACTTATTGCTGCATCAGAAGAAGATCATCTTGATGTTGTTAAATATCTTATCTCAGTTGGAGCTAATAAAGAAGCAAAAGATAAAGATGGAAATACTCCACTTATGATTGCATCGAAATGGAATGAACTTGAGGTTGTTGAATATCTTATCTCTGTTGGAGCTAATAAAGAAGCAAAAGATAATGACGGAAATACTCCACTTATTAATGCATTGAAAAATTATAATGTAGAAGTTGCTATATATCTTATCTCAGTTGGAGTTAATAAAGAAGCAAAAGATAAAGATGATATTACTCCACTTATTATTGCATCAAAATATGGCTATCTTAAAGTTGTTAAATATCTTATCTCAGTTGGAGCTAATAAAGAAGCAAAAGATAATGACGGAAATACTCCACTTATTATTGCATCGAAAAAGGGTAAATTTGAGGTTGTTGAATATCTTATCTCTGTTGGAGCTAATAAAGAAGCAAAAAATAATGATGGAAGATCTGCAATCGATGTTGCTTCGGGTTATACGAAGACTTTTTTGAGTGATATATGATTTCATTATCAGAGACTAGAAATGACAGTCAAATTGTCCCCAAAACAAGTAAAACAGACTACATTATAAATAAATAAATATATACATACACATACACAAATTACAATTGTATTTTTTATAGTAACTTTCGTGAAAGATTATTGAAAATTAACTTTAAGGGTCCACAGTATTTTTTAAACTTTTCAAAAAATTGAATTAATTGTTATTGTCTTTTTCTAATTCGATTTTTTAACTCAAGTTTCTGACAACTGGCGTAAATCACCATTTAAAGCTAACCTTAAAAACTAAAATTGAGGGGGAAGTCATACGAGCGGAAGAATACCCGTAATGAAATCCAAAAAATTAATTAAAAAACAGTAAATAAGTAAGATATGATAGTGAAATCTATACTAAGGCATGGGACTTGCCATATAAATTTTGGTTATTAATAACTATGGCAGGATTGTCTACTCTTTAAGGCTTCACTAACATGACAAAAATTATTCAAAATAAGGATGCCATTTTGCGAATGATGTCACCTTTATAGCACAAATTTTCGGTCTCTTGCGTTCAACCTAAAATATCTATTTTTTTTACCTCGGAAAATAGATATACAATCAATATAAATTCTAGTCTATCATTTTCGAAAAAAGCTCATCATAACTCATGTTAGTGGAAGAAGGCCTTTTTAAGTGGGGCAACAAAAATTGATAAGCGCACTTTTAAGGCTCCAGTTCCCACTCTCTCAATTTTCAAAATTAAATATATTCGTCAATAAGAGTTTTCTGGTATTACTACACAAATTATTCTATGTCTTTAATTATAAGTCATGAAAACACATACTGACGAATATATTCAGTTTTGAAAATGAGGCATTATCATTTTCGTCTGGAAAAAGTGACAAAATTATCATTTTCGTCTGAATTATTGAACTATAACTCTATTTCTAATAATTATAAGCGCAATCTACCCATACACAGCTTTATTTAATAGCTCCTTTTGCATGTTATCATTCTAGTTCCAACTTCAAATTGTTTCAATTTTTGTGATTTTCCAGTCAATTTTTTAGCGAAGTCAAAATCATAAACTCAAACTATTCAATTTATTTTCATCAAAATTTCCTAATAGATGCATTGCAATTCAAGTAATTATCATTGCATTGCAATCTCATAAATTTATCTTTTTAGCATGACCCTGAAAATAAAAAATTATCATTTTCGTCTGACGAAAATGATAATTTTGTCACTTTTCCAGACGAAAATAATAATCCTTCTTTGAAAAATTGAGAGGGTGAGGACTGAGCCTTATGAAGCACAAAATTTACAAGAATATTTTAAAAATGAACAATTTATTGAAAAGTGATAACAAATATGAAATAAAAGAATTTAGTTTGAGGGGTAATATAGGGTTGTTAGATTCCCGACGATAGGTGTCTTGGAAGATTTGCCTGGTGTCATCATAGTGTCTTTAAATCAAAAATTTTATTTTGGAGTTAGTTTTATTGATTTTTCAATAAAAAACATTTCTAAAACAAGAAAATAAAACGATAAAATATTTATATTTTATATAAGGATCTTATATATTTAAAATAAATATCATTTTATTTTTTTCATTGGTGTCTGTCAAACCATAATACACTATTCAAAAATTCAATGTGTCTTGCGGTTTCAAAAGACACCTTCAAATTGAACGATAGCACAGACACTATTGAATTTTACCCATTGTATTTAGTTTTTACCCTTTTTATTTTTAAGAATTAATGACTGAAACAGCCGTTTTGCTATGACTTCAATCACTTTTATTTATTATTTTAAATATTATTTAATTTTATTATTTGAATAGGCCAACTTATATTTGAGAAGCTCAATTTGAGACCACTTAATACATTGAAATATCATAAATATTGAAATATTAAAAAGTGTATTTCAAAATATTGAAATTATAAAAATTTATAATACTGAAATTGAGACAAATTAATAAATTCAATGTGTTTTTTTTGAAATAACTCTCAAATATTATTTTTTTGTTTATTTAATGATGAATAAATATGATTGCTTTAGTCAATCATAAAAACTAATTTAAGTTTAAAATAATGAAAGGATAATTTGATCGTTTTTTAAAATACAATTATTTTTGATGATTTGCAAGAATCTTTGAAAAGAATATAATATAGGTTCTATTTTTGTAAAATTTATCCAAATCATGTATTACATAAATTACGATTAAAACGATGAAAGAACCAAAAAGTGTGTTTTGTGTTTTGTTGTTGCGTGTTGGATGCGGGATCCTGTTATTTCCGAAATCGACAAAAAATTTGGAAATTTAATTTCCGAAATCGAAATTATATTAATGTTTTTAATATTCTTATATCAAAAGGATTAAAGTTCATTAAGAGAAAAACAATTCTTCTTCTTCAATCTATTGGCGCATTTATTTCTACACGCCAATAAGGAAGGAAAATTATAAGACACCATGGTGTCTTCAAAACGCTAATTTTTGATATTTTTAACAACCCCAGGGTAATAATTTTCATTAAATTTTTTGTTGCATTTTTCTGGATTATTAACTCCGCACAGCATATCTCTTAAATTTAGCACAGAACATTCAGTTGTAAACTTTGCAAACTGATCATCATTGCGGCATAAGATAGGTGTCAAATTATTAATTATTTGGTTGGTAATTTCATGGATTGTTGGTCTTATTGCTAAATCCATCATCTTTTCATTTGAGTGAAAGTATTTTTTGCAGTATCCTTCCATCAATTCCTTAAGATATTCTGATGGCTTCAGAATTCCAATTTCTTTTGTCAAATCCGTGAATTCTTTCATTAACTCTAAATAGTTTTTGTAGAAATTCGATGTTTCATCTTTCTTCTTTCCCCTGATGTAAGAAAAGAAAATGTACAAAATCATACTTGATCCGAAGTTGAATTTCTCGTTTAGCAATGCATTAGGAAGATACATTGGTATTGGAGCAAAATCATACAAATTGATACTATCAATTTTCTTAGTTTGGTCTGCTTTTTGGCTTGTTTTAATGAATTTTTTAAATTCATAAAGATTGTGATTCTGAATCAAGGCTTTTCCATCGTTTTCATTAAGGATAAGCATATACTTCCTAAAGAACGGAGTTTGATGCATGAAAATTTCACTTTTTGGCAATGAAATCAAAATTCTTGGAATGTAATCTTGTTGGTAGCGAATCGGCACGCTTCTATTGTAACCAACAATAGAAAGGAATTTTCCCAAGCGTTCTATGGTTTTTGTTTGTTGATCATCTTTAGATGTATTCATAATATTGCAATCAAGGTATTTGAAGTTTAGGACGTTTGTATTCATACCTTGGAATATTTGAAGACAAATAGCTCGCTTGTAATCCGAATCTTTCCTTGTAAAAATTGAAATATTATATCTCTGTAAAATATACAGTTTCTCTGCCTCTGATATTTCTTTTGCACGACCGAATATGTATGGGTTGTAAATGTATCGGAAAAATTCGCCTTCCATTTTATCATTAAAATCTTTGTTATGTAATACTTGAACAATGGAATAGTCTGGCTTATTAAGAGTGGGCATCTTTAGTTTATTAAAGTTCTTTGAGCCAATGAAAAACAGACTGTATGCGAAAGAATTATCAACATTTTCATAATAGTTTTTTGCTTTTCGTATATTAATCTTATCTTTCTCATTATCAACACCAAATTCGAGGTTGTTGTGATTGTTTATCGTCCATTCGATGATATACTTTCTTAATGACCTAATAACTGCCCTTGGCTGACCAAGAATATAGAACAAGTCCTCACTTGTCCATTTTCCCGCTTTCTCCTTATACTCTTTGACAATTTGGGCATCTGAATCTTGGCTCATTTTTATTGAAAAATTAAAAATTATCCATCATAAATTCCCATTATTTTTCCACAAAAATTCCAACATTTTACGGAAGTTATCTCTATATCACTTAATTAAACAAATATACTTTTATTTTGTTGAATTGATTCTTCAAAATATTTCAACACATGATATATCACGTAATTAAAACGAATATTATTAAGAACTGAAACAGCAGTTATTGAAGGTTCGATTATTTTGCTTTTATACTGATTAATTTTATTTCCAACAAAATATATTGTCATTCTTTTTTTGATATCTTATATACGAATCGAGACATCAATTATAAGCTCAGATTGTTCAAAGATTTTAATCATTACAATCATACTTTTTCTCTCTATAAATATACCATTTTTATATAAATAAATATATGAGGTCATGTGGGTACATACTTAATTATAAGTTTAGATCAAAATGACCGGTAATTGGACATCTACCGATAAGACAGTTAACTGTTGAGTGGATACTTAATGAAGTTAATTCAAAACCAACAATTATTGAAAAAACATGTGGAATGATGTTAACTTCATAAGGATCGAATGAAGAAACAAAAATGACATTTGTATTGACTTTTTGAATTTCATTGAGTAAGTCAAGTTGCTTTGTGTTTAGTCCTGGCCTGAATGGAGCAAAAACTACGATATCAGCTGCTTTTGAAGCATCAATTGATTGCTTGATTTCTTCTTCTGTTGGATTTTTACTAATATTAACAATTTCCAAACAACTAGCACGAGATGGATTACTTTCATCATTGTTGGCTTCCTTCAAAACATCTGCAAATGATGGAATTAATTTGAATTCGAATGAAACATTCTTTTGAGGTAATTTTGTATATACACAGACGACTTTTCTACCATTAAAAGGTATAAGGCCATTTTCATCTCTTGGAACTGCAATTGAATTCTGACTGATTTCATTAGAAAGTTTTTTAAGATTTGAAATATAAATTTCTTCATTTTCATCATATTTATTTGTTTCTAAAGCATGTTTGAGTTTGAGTTTAGAAGATATAATCCTTCTGCATGAATCGTCAATTAATTGTTCTGGAATTACTCCAGATTTTACATCATTTAAAACTCCTTCAATCATTTTGTAGAATTCAGCAAAATCACCTTCCATTGTATTGGCAATTAAAATGTTATTTCCTGCCAAAATTGCTTTTCTTACTGCAACATCGATTCCTTGAATAGAAACACCTTTCATAACTAAAGAATCTGTAACAAGAAGTCCATCAAATCCAAGTTCTTTTCTGATGTAATTGATTACTTTTGGAGAAAGAGATGCTGGATTTTCTTCATCAAGAGGTGACAATAAATGAGCTGTCATAATCGAATCGACACCTGCTTCAATGGCATCTTTGAAAGGAGGAATGTCTTTTTTCATAAATTCATCATATTTGTGAATAATATGAGGCAATTCACGATGAGAATCTTGAAATGTGCTTCCATGACCTGGAAAATGCTTGGCACATGTTAAACAGCCTGCCTTCTTGTGACCATTTATATGAGCTTTGATATAATTTGAAATTTTTTGAGGATCAAAGCCAAATGACCGAGCACCAATTACAGGATTCCTTGAGTTATCATTAATGTCGCATACAGGAGCTAAGTTCATATTTATTCCCAAAGATAATAAAACTTTTGCTACACTTTCAGAGAGATCTTGACAATTTGCAATTGAATTTGTTGAAACTATGGCAGCGGCACCAGGAAATCTTGGAATATCTTCGCTATACCGTTCAACATTTCCACCTTCCATATCAGATGAAATGAATGCTGGGAATCCAAATTCTTTTAGAGAATATTCTTGGAAATCACTTGTTAATTTTTTGATCTCTTTTCCATTACCAAGATTAATGGTGAATAGAATTAAGTTACCTATGTGATATTTTTTGATCAAATTAAATATTTCAGCATCGAGTTGTTTTCCAGGCAAGTTAAACATAAACATTTGTCTAACTTTCTGTTCAAGTGTTAAATTCTTTAGAATCTCTTCAACTTCCATATAGAAATATGATAATTTTATATGATCATTTCCAAGATTAGATCTTACATAACATATGATTTCATTTTTGAGCTATTTTTTCTTTATTTCCCGTTCATATGAATTTAATTCTATAATATTTAACATTTGGAGCTAATATTTCATCTTATTGGCTATTCAAATCAACTATTGATATGGTCATATAAGCTTTACAAAAGATCTTGAATTTGAAAGAATCGTAAGAACACAATAAAATTGTTGATATTTAAGAATACATACAAAATTATGGCGAAAATAATAATTAAAAATTGAATACAAAGGATTTTTTATTTTGAATAAAAATTTTCATAAGGCTATTCGATATTTATCCTAATATTTAATCTTTTCAATAGTAGTAGAATTAAGATGATTAATTATCTCACAACGTTGTAGAAAAATAAGAGAAAACTTTACGCCGCATGTCAATTTTCTTCTCAATTGTATAAATAGAAATAAAAAAAATGAGTGATGAATTTTCCCAATTAGCAGAGTATTTAATATACTCATCTTGTCCAAATGTTAATGACAAGGTTGATCTTGCCCTTGAAGACATTGGACAAGAAGTTGCTCAACTTTATTTAAATACGCCTATTTTTCAAAATATTTCGACCCAAATGAGCCGAGCACAACTTGCGCAACTTCTTAACTACATGTTTTTTCTTATTGCCTACACTTATGAAATACCAAAAGATAAGAAATCTCCAGGAGATGATGTAAAACAAACTTATGAGTTAGCAGCTGCTTCTATTATTCTCGATTTATTAAATTCAAGGTCCCAAGCAATTGTTTCCTTTATCCAATCCTCAATCGAAGCTTTGAGTCTTTATCTTCAAAATCAAGCTTCATCGCAAATGGTACAAATCGAATCCACATGCTTAGTTCGCGAGCTTCTGCAGGTACAGCCACTAGCTTTGATTGTTGATTCGATTTTAGAAAGATATCCAAATATCAAATGGATTCCAAAGAAAGATGACTATGCAAATATCGCAACATACGGACAAAATTTCATTCAATATGTTAATCACGTTTCTACTAAGCCACCTTCAAACCAATACTTAGATACGATCAATCAATACCAAAATGCTCTTGTTACAGCCTTGGGATCAACAATACAGATCATTCCACAATATATCCAAGCAATTGAGAACCAATTCGAAAAGGATACATTAGCTTTTCCCGAAAGAACAACTCTTGCTCAGTTAATTTCAGTCGTTGCGAAAAATTCAATCATTATTACGTTTAATTCTATCGAATGCGTATTTACGCAACCTACAAAACTACCAGAATTAGTTCCTTGGATTGCTCAATATTATTTTTCACAAATTACAAAAGGATATGGCACAGTTCGTAAACTTTATGCAACATCCAATGGTACAGAAGGCTTCCAGACTATTCTCGAAGGCTTAGTATCAACAAATAGCCAGATGCAAGCTTTAATTAATTTCATTCGCGGATTAATTACACAACAACCGAAATCGTTCCATGATGTCTTCATAAACCAAATAGTAACATCAGTTCCCCTCATTACCCAAGTTGTTGAACAATCATCTACAGTATTACAAGCTTCCGTTGATGCTTTCACCAGATACCTTGAATCACAGAAGTCACAAGCAGCTGCAGCCACAGAATTTCCTAAAATTGAGAACATTCCGAACACTTTATTCGATCAAGATCCTTATTCATCGATTGTCTTCCCATTCATCAACGCCTGCCACAATTTGCTTCTCACACTTTCAAATCATAGCGAAAGCAATACAATTATTGCTACTTTATCCAACGTTTACCAAAATCTTCGAAATGAAATCCAGAAAGTTGAGAATTTGAACGACCGCGCTCGATTAAATATTATCTGTGATTCAATTGATAACTATTGGATCAAATTCTCTGATGATTACCAGATGTACGGATATAATCCAAAAGATGAGACGACAAGAATCGGATTTATCGCAAGTGCATTGGTCCTTACATCAAGGGCATGCTTACTCTGCACAGATATGAGAACTTTGAAAGTTATGAAATTTGGCATTGACACAGCTCTCAATAAGATCAAAGGATACTTCGTTAATTTGGATCCAATAAATTCAATCATCACCCAATACATCAATTTCGTTAACCAACAAGCATCAAATTACGCATTATTACCAACTGGAACGGCATCTATAGCAGTTTACAGCCTTGCGAATAAAGCACAGTCTGCTATAGCCCAATACGCTGATTTTAATGACGTAACTGATATTGTTTCCGCTCTTTTGATCGTTGATCAAATTTATCCAACATTCCAGTGCGCAGAAAACATTTTTAATGAGAACAGACTTGTTGTAGAGCAAGTTGGAGCCACAACATTCGTTGCTCCAATCAAATTATTCTGCAGCGGAATTGCTAATTTCAGATTAGCTCTCAGCCAGTTCATTTTAGGCTTCATGAGGGTCAGTGCTATTATTGGCCTTCGCTCCAGTGAAGAATCCATTAAGATTGGAAGTCTCGCAGTATCTCATTGCGGATTTGATATCTCTCCCTTCATCGAAGCTCTCAACAAGACCAAGGAAAATCTTCCTAAGGCCATAGAGCCAATTAACAAGCTATCGTTCATCCTCTACGATGATATTGACTTCTTCAGAAAAGAATTGAACGGCGTACAGTCACTTGCCATCAGTATCGTCGATGCTTTTAAGCAAATTGCAAAGGTCGCCTACGCAGAGGAACTATCTCCTCATATCGGCGCCGCAATGAGATTATCCGAAATCATTGATTTCGCATTAACCATTGCTAATTGCTTCCAATTGAACGCTAAGTTACTTGTTAAACCCGTAATGGCATCAGTTCTCAGCACTTCCCTCCAACTTATGCAGAAATCTGCAACAGATATTGCACAAAATGTCCAAGATTGCAACAGATTCATTTATGCGTTTGCCGCTGCCACGTTACAAGCATCAGCCATCATGAAATGCTTCCCAGGACTCGAACAATACGGTGCATACGGATATGAATCTTGCAAATCGATCTTTTCCGATTTATATGACAGGTATCTTGGCCAGGACAGGTTACAAGAGACATACAACGTCATTTCCACTGTCTACAACCAATTGCAGACATTGAATAATTTCATTAAAGAGCAATACAACCAATTGCGAGCGAAAATGAACGAAGAAGAGATTATTCCACCACAAATCACTGCTACACAGAAGAGTACACTTAAATCGATTGATTTCACACCATTGACATACGATGCAGGCAGTGAAGAGAAGAAGAAGAAAGAAGAGGAAGAAGAGAGGAAGAGGAAAGAAAAAGAAGAGGAAGAAAGGAAGAAGATTGAAGAAGAAAAGAAGCGAAAAGAGGAAGAGAAGAAGAGGAAAGAAGAAGAAGAGAAAAGGAAGAAAGAAGAAGAAAGAAAACGTAAAGAAGAAGAGGAAAGAAAAAGAAAGGAAGAAGAAGAAGAAAGAAAGAGAAGAGAAGAGGAAGAAAGAAAACGTAAAGAAGAAGAAGAGAGAAAGAGAAGAGAAGAAGAGGAAAGAAGGATTAAAGAAGAGAAAGAAAGACAAAGATTGATCGAAGAAGAAAGAAGAAGACAAGAAGATGAAGCAAGATTAAGAAAAGCTGAAGAAGAAAGAAAGAGAAGAGAAGAAGAAGATAGAAAACAAAGAGAAATGGAAGAATTAAGAAGGCAAGAAGAAGAAAGATTAAGATTAAAGATACAGGAAGAAATGGTCTTGGATTCTTATGATTTGTTGATGCAGAAACTTCAAACTCCTCAGCCAACAAATGACAACAAACCTCTCGAAATTCAAAATGTAAGAAGATACGTGGATACATTGAAACAACTCATCGCAAGGCTCCAGGAAAGACCTGATAACCAGGATATACCTAGATCTATCCATACTTTGATTCAGGCAATTAATAGTAACCTTCAGGTTGCTCAAGCAAATGCAATTCAATGATTTATTTTATTTTATTTTTTATATAAGTTTTTTTTATTTAAGGATACCCTTACGTGTCAGATTTTTTGCGCATACGAAGAAGTCATGCTAGACATGAGCTATAAACCTGAAATTTTAGCAACATATTTAAAACTTTTTAAACTACAATACACTTTAATATTCAAGAACAAAAATATTCTTTTTAGAAATTACATAATTATTTTATGTGAAATCTATATAAAAACATATTTTGCGAGCGTAACTTTTTTCTTTATAAGCACCTTATATGACTGATAAACTGTGAAGGCACATAATTGTTAATTCATAGAGTTGATATGTTTCCAAAATTGAGAGGAAATTTGAAAATTGAATACCCTTTCAATTCAATTTTCAAAAGATATCAGCTCCTTCAATAATTGAAGGACGATTTTGATCATTTGCTCTTAAAACAAGTATGACATGGAGAAAAAAGTTACGCTCGCAAATCTGAAATATAACTATCATATAAAAAAATTAAATTTCTAATTTTTTACTCTATAGATATTATTGGCCACTTGTGTAATGCATAAAAGTTTATGTCATATGCATACATTTGGAAGTATGGGAGACGAGGGAAATTACTTCTATGAGGCACTAGGATTTTTAAAAATTTCTCTATCGGACTCACCATTCAATTTCTCGAAAATTAAAAAAAATCAATAATAGCTAAAATGTATTATGCATAACAAATTTTAATGTTACACGGTATTTTTTGAACTTCATGACATGAATTTTCTTTATATTTTTTTTTTTGGATTTTCTATGATTTATGCGATAGGCTGGAACAACATTGTAAGTGCAATGATATCATTTATAGAGAAATCTAAAACTTCAGCATTCAGAACTCGCAACCACAAAAATATTCATTTGCTAAGTAAGTAAAGTTGATTAAGTTCGACACTTAGCTTTTATACGTAAAACCAAGTGTGTATTGTTATTTCTTGTTAAATTATTGAGAAAAAAATAAATTGTAAGAGAAACGATACTGATTATTGAAATAATATTGAGGGTAGCTGCAGATTTCTTCATTAACATGCCGGAAATTTGTTAATCTTGGTTTTCTATCATAAAATCTGTCGAAGAATCTAAAAACGGAGATATGAAATAGAGATCATGTAAATCTAGAGTATCCTGTCAGAAAAATAGACTAAGCATGTAACCCTTTTTTGGTCATAAACACTTTTTACCACTTAGTCATACAGATGATCATTAAATTTAAACGAGCACTTTTTGTCAGAATTTATTCTTTTACAAAGACAGAAGATTTTAGTATTATTTAATATTAGTGCTGTAGCAAAATTCAAAAAACGGTGAAAATTCAGTGAATTTGTGAATTCACATTTTTTTTCGACATTTTTCTTGATATATCCATGCACATTAAGAACACAGCTTTGATACGCTTAAAAAAGCATATTTCATATGAAATTGTTAAAGAAATAAACAATTTATATAAAAATTGCACTTATGGGCAGTTTAGATATATAATTTATATATAACATATATACAAATCCATAGACAAAGTGCAATAACTACAATGTTGTAGAAAATTACAGCAGAAATACTGACTTTTTGAAGGATAATAAGAATTCTTCTAAAAATACTGAAAATTAACATATTTCTGTACTCAATTTAGTATATGCACAGAAGTTATGATTTGGTGTTAGGTTTTTATGCCCCAAAATCTAGATTTTTGTGACATCAAATCTTATTAGTGGATAAATCAAAGACTGTCATTTTGAAATAAGCTCATATCAATAAATATCCATTTAAAAGCCTTATTATAATATGTAACTAGCAAAAAGCCTAATATTTATCAAAATTAATCAAATCAAATGATCAATATTCATGATATGTCATCAGCAATAGCTAATTGATATTTTATTTTGTATTGATATTCATTTTTCTCATATTATACACGATTATATCTCTTTTTTTAAAAAAAGTTTTTATATTAGACATGAAAGTTGAATTAATACAATTTTGTACTAGAGTTTGTTTGTATATTAAATAATAATGATATATACTTCAACATATTGCGTCTCACCATTACCAAAATGTAATTTTGCATACAATTTTCTTTCATTTAACAATGATGTTATTTGAAAAGTGATACTTCCATGATTATTGATTAATGTTCCATCATATATAGGAATGAATGTTAAACAAGACACGCCTGCAGCTGGGTGCATTCGTGGCATTGTGATAAGGCTTATATATAAAGACTTCTCTCGCGATCAGCATTACGTCAAATGAATATTGACCCATTATTTTGGCGATGCGCTAGTTCCAAGTAGAAATGCTTTTGGTATATTTGTATGTCTATATGTTATGAATCATAATCATGGTATTATTGTAAAAAACGTTCTTAGTCATTAAATCAATCCTAGTATCTAAAGATATAATTTAGATTTTTTTGTTTATTGCTAAAATTAAATACAGTATAACTTTCTTTCATATTGTCGGTACTAACAATACAAGATTGTGTTGAAAAAAACTTAAATATGCATGAAAATTAAATTTAATGTGTAAATATGATAAAAATTTCAACTTTACTAATAACATACATAAGTTTCTGATAGTTTAATATAGTTCATATTGATGTGACTGTAAACTATATCAAAAAAATATTTTTAAATATTGTTATGCAAATAATGGGATTTCTAAGGAAAAAATGATTATATTTGTTATATAAAGCAATCTTTTTAATTATTCACTACGTTTATTACATTTTTTGCCGACCATTTACGTAATATGCCTCCACCAAGCAGACGCAAACAACAAAGTCGTGAAGCTAACGAAAAATCAATTGAAGCAAAAAAAACTCCCAAGAAAAGAATGCGCCAAAGGAAGTCGATCCAAAACACTGGACTGCTTCTGTAATTGTTAATGGTGACTCTTATACTCGAGCAAGGAATTTATTTCAAGATAACAATATTAAAGTGCCGAGTGAAAAAGAGTTTTACCGTCATCAAAAAGAAATAGGTAAGGTAATACTAGAATATAAAGAGCAATCTATTAAAAATGCTCAACAAACAATGAAGAAAGATACATTTTTAAGCACTGATTCGCATTATAATGTTGGCAGAAATGCTACAGCGTGCCAAAGTTTAATGATGGACAACCGTGGAAAAGTTGTTGGTGAAACAACTGTTATAAAAAAGAGCTCTGGAGGAGACTTTGAAGGCCAATCCAACATAATGGAAACAGAATGTACAAAGAGGATGATGTCAAATTTTGACTTTACAAAGTCTAACTATTTTTTATATTAGTACATATACACACTTGGGATTCTCATAGTTATATTGATAATTGTCTGTTTGTTAAACAAATTTCATTGTATAATATAAACAGGATATTGAGAATTCCAAAATAGATAGGAAGTAAGATGAATTCAAATGTCTCATTTTATTTGATGAAACATACATATTCTAGCATGCAAACTTATTTTTTTGATCATTACTGGAGCAGTTGAAAATTATACATTCCATTAACCATAGAATATCTAGAAATTTATATGCAATAACGGAAAATAAAAGCAATTTAGGGAATTTAAGAGGAGAGAGGGTCAAAGTTGCTATTTGTCACTTTTCCACAAGAATATAATGGGGAAAAAGTTATCATATAGTTGATCTCATTCACTGAGGTGAGAGATGCATGTAGTGTAATATGTAATGGGATAAACAGTGGGATTACTGCTCTAAGTCCTAGGTTCGAGACACATTGGCTTCATTTTTCTCTTTTTTATTGACGTAAACTGTTCAATTTTTGTGTTCTCCATTCAAATTTCAGAATTTTTTTTGCAGATTTCACGCTACATTCGAAGTTACCTTTTGTAACAACCACCACTGCCTACGAAAGACGAAAGTGTGTCACGATTTCACCCGGAAATCCGACGGTTGTTTAAGAGTAAGCACTTTTGGCACCTACTCAATTTAAGAGCCGGCTTAAGTTTCTAATAAAGATTCTGCAAAAATGAAAGATTTAAAGAGCAAAAAACAATATTTTTTATTCAAAATCAATAAATCGCATCTGTATATGCACTAACTAAAAACAATAATAATTTACCGTCTTTCTTTTTAATTTTCATTTCTTCTGTGATCTCAACTTGTTTTCGATTGTCTTGAGGTATTGGAATAACTGCAAGGCAGTAGGCAGTTGAAAGATGGGACAACGGATTAACAAAACTAGTTTCTATTGTATTTGTAGTTGTATAGTCAAAATATGTATCAATATAACAGCTATCTAAAATCGAAGAGTATGATGAAAATGTAGTATAATCATTATTTATGAATGAGCAATGATAGCATTCTAAGTTACTACCACCAAGTAAGAAAAGCTCGTCACAATTCGTATTATTGATGATATTGTTATAGAACATTGTTATTTGAATTTGAGATTCAATCATTTCATTTACTTCATAATTTCTGTTATAACCAAATGACGAAAAGTTTACAACAATTGAAATTCCACTTTCTATATAAAAGCATGAGTCCCAATTGGCTTGATTGTAACTATCATTTACTGAATAAATTATTTGATTGCCTCCTGTAAGTCTGATTGTATTGCCGCCATAATTTGGAGGACAATTGAAAACAGTTCCTTCAATAAACGAGTTATTATATGCAGCTTGGGAATAAAGAAATTGGGCTCCTTTTGAACCTGTCAAACCTTTACACAAATCTCCGCAAAATCGCCTATTAATCGCAGAATTGGATCCATAAACGTACATTCCGCCACCTGTATCTGGGCTGTAGCAGTTATAGAAAGTAGAATCTGTTTCGAAAAAATCGTAATTACTGCTAGAAATATATATTCCGCAGTTTGATAGATCGTAGAATAAGCATAGATATAAGAAATACTGACTTTGAGATGGTAAAGAACAATTTACGCAGGTTGTAATATTTCCTGAAAATTTTGTTCCAAAATATTTATTCCAGAGATCTGGTAATGTGCCATCTTCATGTTTTGTAGGAGTCATGGTGTATTTTGATGTTTGGATGGATACTAATAGTGAGGATAAGGGTGCACCCACATGTACGTTTATTTGAGAGGAGGAGGATTACCCTCTCAATTTTGAAAGCTTCGTTAACTTAATATCTCGATGAATATTGGATTAAAATTGAATTCGCCCATACCAATATATCTGATACAATATCCTTAAGTTTTACTAAAAAGAATTTTTTAAAATCCCTGCAGATTCGGGGATTTTTAAATTTTTTGATTTTTTTCGAAAATTTTTCGGGAAAAAAAATATTTTCAGAAGAGCCTTAACGGCTAAGTTTTATGTTTAATGTTGAGTATCAAAAAGAATGGGCATCTGATATAGCCATCATATATCCCAGAAGCTAGGGCTGTACAAGATTTAAAAAAACATTGCCGGGTTACCGTAGAGGCCTAAAAAAATCGCGCCTCGGCGGCAAGCCGCCTCGGCATTAAGAATGCGCATCTAAATTTTTATATGTCCTTCTTTCTTTTATTTTTCCCTTCCCTTTCTTTTCTTTTTCTTTTTTTCCCTCCTCTTGCTCTCATTAAAAAAAAAAAAAAAGGGTATTGGGGCTTCCAGGCACTTCGTGCCCTCTAGCCCCGAAGATGTTTAGTATAAAGCCGCTTTTTAACTTCACTTAAAATGCCACGTAAGCTACGTAAGAATATACGTAAGAGGAAGAGAGCATTGAAACATCCAATAGTAAGACTGACACCACAACAACAGTTGCAACAACAAATGCTGAATGACCCCACTATGTTGCAACAAATGTCAAGCAATCCTATGCTTTTAAACCGAGTTCTTGGTGCACAGAGTGGAGGTTTAAGAGCGGCACTTTTAGCGAAAATGGCAGGCTATGGTGGAGCTGCAGACGGAACAGCCTATAACCCTCAAAGTCAAATGAATTTGAGTTCACTCAAAAATCAAATAGCAGATGTCAAAAAGTCAAACATAGACATACAGAAGCAAATAGGTGAAAACGAAAAGAAACTAGAATATGACAGACACACAAAGAAACTCAATGAGTTAAACGTAGAGAAAAAGAAGAAAGAAGAACAACTGAAAGAACTAAGTACAGAGGAATATGCGAAAAAAGTGTCAGAAAAAGCAGCAGAAGTAGCAAAAATGGAACAAGATGTCATAAATTTGAAAAACCATACTACTCGATATAAAGTACTGAAAGATGAAGAGATAAAACAAAAAGCCCTGAAGACATATATGGATAGCGATGAGTATAAAAAGGAAGTTGAAGCAAATGTAAAGGCAGAAAAACTTTTACAGTTGCAAAACCAAACCGTACAGTATGAAAACTTAGCACAAGAAAGTAAAAATAACGACGCAGCCATGCAAAAGGCAATGAAAAGCGCAGAATATATAAAAGCTAACAATGACTGGTTAGATGCCCAAGCCAACGCTAAAGCAGCCCAGCTTATAGGGTCAATAAGGACAAAAATACAAGCGGATGAAGACAGTTCAAATGAAGCTTTAACAAATGCTGACTTTAAGAACGCCTTCGAAGCTCTTCATAGTAAGGTGAAACAAGTGAACGACTTCTCATCTGGAAAGAAACTGAAGTCTGAAGGTTTCGACAAAGAGTTAAAAGAAGTAGCACAAAATATGACGAAAATAACAGATGCAGCAACGAGACAGGCAGTTCAAAGTGCCTATGACGCCGTTAGAGCAACTGTTGTGAAAAGTCAAGAAAAAGAGTTACAACAGACCAAAACAGACCTAGTAAATGCTTTCTTAAGAACGAAAAGTCAGATAGGACATTACGCTGCAGATGGAACATATGTGCCAGCTGGTGGAACTTATATACCAGCTGTTGGAATTTATATACCACCAAACCCTCCAAGAGAAGCACCTGCACCAGGACTACCTAACACATTTACATCGTCACATGGACATAGACACAGGCATGCACCAAAACCAACACAACAACCAACACAACAACCAGCACAACAACCACCTCCACAACCAGCACAACAACCAACAGTTCAAAACCCTGCACAACAACCACCTCCACAACCAGCACAGCAACCAACAGTTCAAAACCCTGCACAACAACAACCACAAACAGAGCAAGGACATAAAAGAAGTAGAGAACAAGGAAACCAAGAATTCTTAAAAAGGCTTAAGGAAGACTATGGTTACCCAGATAGTATTGACTTTAGTGACAGATATAAAGAAGCTATTAGAAAGTTCAAGGGAGGAAATACTGACCCGAACCTATTTAGCTTTATGGTTCAGCACCAAATGGGATATAATTTCAAACCTGGAAAATACAAGCTCGCTAAGGGATATGATTTAATAGCATATCATCCAAATGACATGACTGAATTTACTCCGAGATATTTGATGTCAGAGCTAAATGACAATTCAACTCCCGTCATGAAACGCGTAAAAAATAGAGACGGAACGAAAGAAGAAAGGTTTATGAGTCCGGATGACTTAGAAAGGGAAGTTGTTAAAAACGGTCTCGGAATATATGAAATGCCAGCAGATGAGGTACAAGAAACTCCACAGGAAGAACTAGTTCAGATACAACCAGACATGGAAGAAATAGTTCAGCAACAACAGCTAGAAGAGCCTGAAGGAAACGAACAAGTCACTCCTTTGGAAACTAACTTCACAGAACTAGATGAAGATTTGGAACAGCCGAAAAATCTTGACCCTCAACAAGTGTATGCGGAGAATATGGAATATTTCCAAGAGTCTAAAAAAAAAATTCGGCTGACATAGTAGAAGAATATCGAAAAATGTTTGCCGACATACAAAAGACTCCAACACCAGATGAAAATATTCAGCATAGAATGGAAGTACTGAAAGAAAATGTACACAAATACAACAACCCTTTTTACTTACGAGCATTTAACGTTCAATCTTCGGATGAACTCGGTGAAAATAAAAGGTTAAATTTCAAGAAAACATATAGAAATGAAACATTGTTTAAAGTTCATTCAGAACCTAACCAAGATGGAAACAAACCTACTTTTGTTTCTGCAGACGATGGAACTACAATGAGATGGGGTCATAAAGCTAACCCGGATAGGTGGTTCATAAACTTACAACCACAATTCCAAGAAGTTGTAGACGCAATGGAAGTCAATGGTGAACCAGATATAGCTGGTATTTTAAGCGCGGCTTTAATGCCATTGAAAGATATGAAACATGCAGATATTTTGGACCAGTATGAAATGAACATGGCTGATGGAAATATAACACCTGACGTTCTAGAACATTTATCTCAAAGAACTATACAGAACCATAGAGATGGTATATTTGGTGAAGAGTTTAGAAAGAAAGTTAGGGAGGGAGAAGGAAGAGAACCTATTGTACATGACCTTGCAAACGAAAGTTTACAAAATGTCATAAAAACTTACTTTGCAGACGATGAACTGAGAAGGGATGAATATTTAAGAAAACTCAAATGGACAGTACCAAATGAAATGTTAGTATTGAAAAACATGTTCCTTGACAAAATAAAACCAACTACAGAAATAAATGACGCAAGACTGAAAGATTGGGTAAAAGCTTTCCCATTCACAAAAGATATAGTTGGTAACATGGAAAGAAAACCAGAATGGCTACAAAAACATATATTTGGAAACGAGCATATTCCATATGGACAGGCACTGTTTGAAGAGCTTGAACCGGAAACTCAGGAAAGAGTCATGCAAACAATAAGCGACGACTCAAATACAAACTATGACAAACTCTTTCTAGGATATAGGTTACCTGAGATGGGCGACCAGAGCCCAAAGGCAAAAAGGACATGGAAAATTTGCAACATACTAGATGAACATGAGGCAAAGATGCAACAACTTGAAGCAGAGGGCAAGTTACCAAAGCGACACCAAAGAAGAAGAGTAGAACAAAGTGAAAGTAGTGAAGAAGTAACTTCATCTAGTGAAAGTAGTGGCAATGAAGGAAAAAGAAGAGTTAAAAACTCAGTCAGGAAGAAAGTAAAGCTTGGTCCACGTGGGTTCTATTATGACATATAAATCCAACTATTCTATATTTTTACCCATATGAAATGTACGCCGCTCAGAATATAACGCCAACAGTTTTGGATGCTATGAATGGAAATGTTTCCGAATGGTATAACGAATGCGACAATGCCATTAGAAGGTCAGAAATAGTTCCTGGAACTTACGAATATACAACTGCTGTTTCTTATGGAAACGTAGGTGAGTTTGGAGAAGGTTCTTCAACAACAGTAGATATTGCTTGCGACAGGTTTCATATAATTTCTATTGACAACTCTTTCTTATACGTGGAACAAGACATTGAAATAAAACCTTCTGCCAAGTTGTCTGACAAGAAAGGTTGCAATGGAATTTTCTATGTCGGATACCAATATGCTCCAGAAGTTTTCATGGGATATAAGATATATTCTAACTCTGACTTAGTTCAAACAGTAACATGGGCAAACTATGAATGGTTCGCTTTGAGAAACTCAGTACAACCACAAGCTAGAGAACAAACAGACCAGTATGCAACTATTGAGAAAATAAGAAGACTTGACCCTAACGTTCCAGGAGTTTATGTTGACCTTTCTGGACAAACTGCAGCAGCAGTAACCAAAGTAAAATTGAAACTTAGAGTTCCTTTGTCATCTTTCCTCATCTTCAGGTTTTTAAGATACTTGCCAAACTGGGCAGGAAAAATTTCTATCGAACTTACTCCAAGCAAAAATAACTTAGTCATTGCACCAACACAAGACCCATTCACTCTTACTGTAGCTGGAACTGGTGGAGCCAAGTTCTGTGACTTTTGCAAAGACAAAGTTGACTTAGACTTTGGTTTCTCAAACCTCAACACTGAAGTAAACTACTACTTCAATGCTGCTGGAACTGCTTGGGACCCAGTTAAGTTCACATGCGAAAAATTTGAATGCAAGAGAATAGAAAGCAGACTTGCAGTCTATATGTTGGACCCAGATATTTCAAATGCTTTAGCTGCCAAATATATTGCAGTTCCACTTATGTTCCCTATACACCAAATATCTGTCAAAGACTTTGCAGGTGAAGTTGGAAACCAAAGTGCTGACCCAGGTGCAAGAACAGATATTGCCTTAACAACTGCAATGAAACATGCAGATACTATGTTTGTACTGTTCAGACGAACTATAAATGACTATTCTTGTTTCTACAACCCCGGTATTAAATATCATATAAACATAGATGGCAAATACTATCCAAGAGAAGAATATTCTACAGTTGAGGATATGAGGTCATACAACTTGACATTAGATGCTATGAACTTTAACAACAACTTCACAACAACCATTAACCCTGAAATGCAAAGTTCTATTATGCCATATGTGAAAGTATGGACCCATACAGGAGCTCAAAACACTCAATATACAAATGGAGACCGTTCAAACTTTTGGCTTGGCATTCCATTTGCTGACTCAGAAGACTTTATGGGTGGTATTTCAACTGTTGGTACAGTTCAAATACAATATACTGTGACAGAGACGGTCCAAATGAATTGAAAGCAAAGAAGTTTACAAAACCAATAGCACTTTTCACGGAAGATGCTCTTTTGAAGATTCGTTCGATGAAACCTGCTGGGGCTCCTCAGATTGGTATAACGACAGCTTCCATCGAGCAGATTTTGGCAGCAGGTCAGTAAGTTGTTCTTGAACTGACTTCTCTCCGTCAAATATTGACAGTACGCCAGTTTTGATATAATATTGTATTAAAAACTTTCCTTTAGAAATATCGGTCAGTTTTGTTGTTATATTTTTGTCTGCTTCAAGAACTTTCACCATCTCGGTTATACCAACTTTCTTTGCTTTATGAAAATATTTTGGTTCAGCAAAGACTGCTATTCTATAACATTTTCCATTGTTTGTATAAAGAACTATTCTGTCAATGAACTTGTATTGTTTGTGTGTGTAAACTTTGTTTTGCTTCAATTCGAAGAGATACTCAAATACGTCCATCTTTTTATTCTAAGTAAAATGTCATTTCCGAAAAATAGAAGCGTAAGTGTTTCAAAAGGTTTAATGGCGGTGGCAGATGTGAAGTTAAATTCACCAACTCAAACAAACAGTCAAAGTGTTGTTGTCAATGTCAAAGACAGAGATGTTGAAGTGGGGAAACCATACGAAGACGAAGATGGTATAACAATAGTTCCTGTAAAAGAACAACCAACATACCCTGAAGTTAGCAGAGACTTAAGTTCTGTTGCAGATATTCGAAACGACTACCAACAACCTAAAGACAAACTTAAAACTCAGGAGAAGATTTGTCAGGCTTTGGGTATAATGTTAAACTTGGTCGAACACAACCCTGTAAAAGTGAACTCATATGTCATTGCACCTCATGAAGTTTTGAAAGAACTATTGAAACTTTTGACAGAGGCAGACGATATAAACATCAAAGAAATAGAACCCGACATTGCTTGCTGTGGTGTTTCATATAATGTCATTGACAAGATATACGTTATGAAAGGAGGTGAAACGTTGAACTTAAAATATAGTTTCCCAGACGTCATAAAAATATTTGACGACCACAACATTTCATTAAAATTTACTTGCTAAGTAAAAATGTCAAAACTTCTTGAAAGATGTTTGAAGAAAAACAATATAGACTTTATTTCATGTAAAGGACTTTACACACTTTTGAACGATATGAAAGACCCTGTTTTGTTTGTTCGTGTAGACAAAGGAAAGTTCTATGTCTTTACAAAATATTTGAACTTCTTAGACAGAGAACTTCAAGAAACGCCATGTGAAAGTTTAGATGAAGTTCTTCTCCTTTCAGAAAAACTTTTAAATATATGTAAATGGCAGAAGACATAGTGGTTTATACTATTACGACTAAAACCCTGAGTCATATAATTCTATAACAACAAACTTACAAAGTCCTCAAGGACGATATTGTAAACTGACCTTAAACACGATGACGACTAAAGCCTGTTTTGCTCTTTTGACACCAGAAGACTTTGTTGTTGTGAATGGTAAAAAATACTTCTTTGAAGATACTTACTCAGATATACCACCAACAGGTTTTGTTGACTTATTTAATACTTTAAGGACGGATGTAACATGTGCTGGCAACTAGAGCAGGTTTCATTATGTTTGGATGTCCGACTGAGTTTAGTATAAACGATATGAGCTATAATACAAAACTTATATCTGGTTTTTACTACCAACAGTTTCCTATAACAGGAAAAGGTGTCATACAAGGAATGTCTGTTCCATTGACTTTAAGTACACCTATTTTATATATTGTTTCAAACTTAGGTTCAAAGTGCTATTCGAATGTCGACAGAAACTACTATGACCAAAAGATACTCATGCGTATAAACAACACTTTCTCTGCTGGTTTGCCTATTGTTCATTCGAATGCAGAGTTTTCAGCTTTAGTAAACTCAAACACTTTAGCAAACATAAACTTAACCTTAGTTGACGCAAACTTTGTTCCTGTAAAACTTTTATGTCCTATGTATTTGTCAATGACGGCAGAAAGTTTCGAATTGGAAGATGCAACTGGTGAAAGTATTGTACTACAAGAACAACTTCAACAACAAATAGCTCAAGAACAACAAATGCAACAAATGGAACAAATGCAACAACAAATCTCAAGAATAAAAAAATATTTTTTTTTATTTTTATAAAAAAATGTACAGAATAGACGTTTCAGATTTTTATGACTTCCAAGCGTTCAGAAATATGTGTCCATTTAGAGACTATAACAAAGCAGTCGAGAATTTGAAACGTTTAGTCATTTATGTCGACTCTGCCCCAGAATGTTATGTCATGAAAGAATGGGATGTAGTCTTTAACAAACCTAAGCGACAATAGTTTCAGAACAAGAATGTAAACAGAAACTTAAGAAAATAAAAGTCGTACAAGTTGGTATGAAGATGTTAGATGCTTGGGATATCTTATTGTCAAAGTTAGAAGATTTTTCAGTTCGTGGTATAAAGTTCTATACACCATCTCCAAACTTCTATTCTATCTTCACTGGATATAAATACGAACAAGTAGAATGGAAAGAAAATGTTATAGAAGCTTGGTTAGACCATGTCAAAGAAATTATATGCAATGGAAACGAAAGAGTCTATGAGTATATCTTATGTTGGTTTGCAAACATCTTACAACATCCAAGTGCTAAAAATGAAACTGCTCTCATAATTGGAAAACAAGGAACAGGTAAGAACACTTTCTTTACAGATATCTTATGCAAACTGTTAGAGGGCTATTCGAACCCGAATATGACAAACTTAGAAAACATCTGCGGTAAATTTAACTCTTCAATAGAGAATATGAAACTTATAGTATGTAACGAACTTCAAAGTATAGATACAACAAAGTTTTGAACTCAGATGCTTTGAAGAGTCTTATAACAGACAAAGTTGGAGTTGTTGAAAGAAAATATAAAGACCAAAGAGTTTGTGAAAATGTTGCAAACTTCGTCATGGTTTCAAACAACGCCGTTCCGATGAAGTTAGAAAGTTCTGACAGAAGATATGTAGTTGTCAGAACGTCAGAAGCTCATATGCAAGATACAGAATATTTTGACGACTTAGCAGAAACTTTGACATCTGACTTTTACAACCACTTGTTCTCATATTTCATGACATTAGATATTTCTAAGTTCAATCCAAGACAAATTCCACATACCGAAGAGAGACAAACATTGTTAGAAGCAAACAAGAGTGTATATGAACTGTTCATAGATGAAACTGACTTTGAGTGTTTAGATGAAAGGTCATTGTACGATTCGTATAAACAGTATTGTCAAGAGTATGGTTATATGACAGCGTCTAAACGAACATTCTTGGCAAATGTCAAAAGTCTTTTAGACGTACAGAATGGTGTATATACAAAGAAAAATTTTTCTGAGTAAATTTTAAAAAAAATATTTTTTTTATCCGATAGAAAAGATGACGAAATTCATCTCAGTCAACAAGTACATGTCAGGACTTAAAGAAGAACTAGACCCATTCACATATTTGAATGTTTACTTCTACCATTTTGAAAAGTCTACATTTGACAAAGTTTGGAACATCGAACCAGTTAAGTTTGCTATTGTGACTAAAAATGGTGCGAAATTTGAAGACTTAGACATAGAAGGTTTGTTAACAGTCAAAGAAAGTTTTGACAGAAGGTTTTCAAACCTTAAAGAAGGCAAAGCATACAAACTTGTTATACCTTATGAACCAAAGAAAGCAGACGACTATGAATATTATGAGTCTAAGATAGTTGAAGTTCAAGGTAAATTGGGTAAAAAGATTTTAGAGTCTAAGCCGGTGTTTGCTCCTAAAGAGGAAGAGAACATTGACATTGACCCAGAAATGTTCTAAAAATAAAATTTTATTTTTACATGTCATATCTCTTCTCTGGCTCTGGTTCTTTCTTCTCTTCTTCTACTTTCTTTTCTTTCTTTTCTCTCTTCTTCTTCTCTGGTGGAGTTATGTCAAACTTCTCAGAACCATATTTTTGTAAAAGTGCTTTGTCATTTAATAGCTCTTCTATTCTGTTTTCTATTTCATTTTCAAGAACAGCGCATGTGTCTTCTTTGCATTCTAAGAAGTTTTGTTGGACTTCATCTCTCCAAGAGGCGTCATCTCTGTCAACAAGTCTGTCATTGACAAATTTTAAGACTTCTCTGCTTAAGGTTTTATGGTTCTTGTCATATTCCCAGAAACAGAACTTTAGAACAAATTCACCTTTCTTGTTTACACTATGTAAGATTTTATGGTCGACAGATGTTTTGCTGTCGAAAAGCTTGTCTCGAATATAGATAGCGAAATCGCTAGACATTTCCTAAAAGATAAAAATTTTAATTTTTCTAAAAATATGTTAGAAAAAAAGTTTGCTGACATTGACAAGAAATTTGAGAATGTTTTAAACAAGAACAAGAGGAAGTTGGAAAATGCTCAGATAAAACCCATACATGACAAGTTCTTATTTGCTCAGAATGGTATAACAGGTCTAATTGCACCACCTGGGTCGGGTAAGACTTTCACTTATCTTAAAATGGCTGCACAACAACAAGAACTAGATGAGAAGAACCCATTCTATGAGTTAGTAGTCATTTGTAGTACTTCTGGTCAATTTGACCAAACCGTCAATTCGTTCAAAGATATTATAAAAAAGTCTAAGTTAGTATGTATAAAAGACTCTGAGTTGTTAGATTGGATAAAGAAGTACCAAAGAAGAGTTTTGAAGTACAATGCTATAAATGAGTATGTCAATTCTAAGTTTAAAGACCCAAATGAGGAAATGCAGAGAATATTAGAGAAGAAACACTTCAGAAACAAACAGAAAGAGATAGAATACATTTCGAAGAAATTGCAATCTTACGATTGGAAGACTTACCCTCACAGATGTCTTCTTATCTTAGATGACTTTGCTTCTCATCCTTTGTTAAAGAATAGAGAACAAGACATGTGTCGAATTCTTAAGAAGCTCAGACACTTTAACATTTCAGTTGTCATTTGTGTACAGACAGCAAGAGTTTAAGTAAGGATGTAAAGAGAATACTTACTGATATCATACTTTTCCCCGGATTGTCCGAAGACGATTTCATGGAACTTATGAAAGAGTCCATGGCAGGTAAGTTTGACAGACATGAACTATGGGAGAAGTACAAAGTCATACAAGACCCTCATACTTCTTTCAGAATTCACATCTACGCAAACAAAGTTCAAATTGTAAAAAGTCAAGCGTAAAAATGTAAGTGTTTGAGTCTTAGTCTGTTGTGGTGCTGGGGCTGTCGGTTCTTCTGGCTTTGGAATGGACTCGGTTGGTGGTACGTCACATTCGTTTGTGTCCTGTCGGAAGGAAGGACTTTTCCTGTCGGAAGGAAGGACTTTTCCTGTCGGAAAGAAAAACTTTTCCTGTCGGAAAGAAAAATTTTTCCTGTCGGAAAGAAAAATTTTTCCTGTCGGAAAGAAAAATTTTTCCTGAAGGTCGGCCAAAAAGTTCTCAATTTTCGAAAATTTGAATGGTTTACGGACGGACAACTGGAAAAATTTTTCCTGTCGGAAGGAAAATTTTTTCCTGTTGGAAGGAAAATTTTTTCCTGTTGGAAGGAAAATTTTTTCCTGTTGGAAGGAAAAACTTTTCCTGTTGGAAGGAAATTTTTTTCCTGTTGGAAGGAAAAACTTTTCCTGTCGGAAGGAAGGACTCGGAATGCCAGAAGGATTCGACAAGACAATTTACCATCTAGAGCTACCTGAGCCATCTTTGGTGTCAAGCTTGAAAAATAAATGGTTCATTTACTCTTCCTCTTTGAAGTTGTCAAAATACTCTGTTATTTTTTCCTTCAGTAGCGGCAAATCTTCTTTGAATGTAAGTATTGTACAACCTTTCATATCATAGTGTGTTTGAGGTAACGTATCTTGAACTATCTGTTTAACATCTTCATTTGGTGTCATTGAAATCGGTAAGTTTTCGCGATAGAACCAATTTCTGTCAGATTTGTAAATCTTAGCTAAGTCGTAAAAGCTTTTGTTGTTTCTTCTGACTAAATGCAACATAACCATATCTCTGTCTTCTTCATTTTCCATCTCTTCAGTGTAAATCATATACTTATAGTTCTTTTCCTTTCCTTTTGGTACCGAACGTGGTATTCTTTTCTGTATGTTTTTGTCTTTTGCTTCAAGCTTGTTCTCTAGCTCTTCACGTTCTTGTCTATGAAGTTCGTCAAGAAGTCTGTAAATATACCAAGCGTAACGAGGTGAAGCCCACATTGCAACAGCATTTACAAGAAGTCTATGTACATACCAACCTCTCAAACCATTTGGCAATTTTTCACGATTTTCATAGAGTTTTGGCGACTGGGGTTTTTCTCCCACTCGCTGTTCTTCACTGTTTTTATAGAGTTTTGGCGACTGGGGTTTTTCTCCCACTCGCTGTTCTTCACGATTTTCAGAAAAAAGTCTGTCTCGCTGTGCTTCGCTCAAAAGTTCAATAGTGCTTTGGTTCCTAAACCAGTCTTTAGGAAGCTTAGTATCTGGAGCAAAACATGCTGTCAAAATACTTTGCATTTGGTACATGTCATCTTTGACCGAACGAATGAGACGTAACTGTTTGTTATACTGAACCCACTCGTATTCTTCACTTATGGCTTCATGAACGATAGCAGTTGTTGTGTTCTCTGTTGTTGACATTTCTGTTCTTACATACAAAATAAAAAAATAAAAAAAAATAAAATTAGCGTTATTTTCTATCTTGTATAAAAGACCAAAAATAAACGCTTTACATGTATTTTTCAGCAACTTCGTCAAATACTTTTATAGCTTTGTCGATCTCATCTACTTCAAACGTTTCTTTACCTCTCGTGGGAGCACCATACAATTTCTCAAACTTTTCAAGTAGTTCTGTTTCAGCAGCTCTCATATCGTTAACAAACGCAACCTTAACTCTATTGACTATACTGTCATATCTTTGAGTTATATTAAATGTTCTTCCTATCTTATATCTCTTTGTATTGAAGTCCTTCGGTTTCTGAACGATGTAAAGTAAGCCTTCACTGCAACGTTCCGTATCGAATGAACCATATGTTATGAAATTATATCCAACAACTGGGTCAATCCAGAACAAAACTACTGGTATAAGACTTTTGTCTATAAGATATGCTCTTGTTCCATAGAATCTTACCGATATCATAAGCTCAGGATTTCTTGTCAAAATTTTCTGAGTAGAAGCATTTCTAACCCAGTCGTGTGCTTTCTTTCCTTCAGATAGTGTTAAAATGTCTGACAAAGAATATTTTTTGTATTTCTTTGAGTATCTTACGTTTAAATCACCTATTCTAACCACTTTGGTCTCATTGTCTATCTTTTTAACTGTTTCAAACTCAGTGCTTGTCATTTCCTGTCTTTACATACAAAATAAAAAAAATATTTTAAAAAAAACTAACGCTATTTTTTATCTTGTATAAAAGATATGATTTCAGGGATTTTTTTGACGAAGTGCAAAAGTTCTCTTCGTCAAAAAAATACAGTTATATCATGAAATTTGGTCATTTTTTCACGATTTTCATGAGTTTTAGGCGACCCCGGGAAAAGTCGGGGTCGCAATTTTTTACGATTTTCATAGAGTTTTGGCGACCCCGGTTTTTTCCCTACTCGCTGTTCTTCACTGTTTTCATGTGTTTTAGGCGACTACGGTTTTTTCCGTACTCGCAATTTTTCACGATTTTCATGAGTTTTTTTTACGATTTTCGAATGGAATCTCGTTCCTCGGTTTTCCGCGGGACGCAATTTTTCACGATTTTCATAGAGTTTTTTTACGATTTTCGTACGGAATCTCGACCCGCGGTTTTCCGCCGGTCGCAAACATATGAGGAAATTCATGAAATTTGGTCATTTTTTCACGATTTTCGTACGGAATCTCTACCCTCGGTTTTCCGCGGGTAGCAAACATATGAGGAAATTCATGAAATTTGGTCATTTTTTTCAGCAAAAATATATTTTAGATCTAACCAGGTCACTCGGTCACTCGGTCACTCGGTCATTTTAACTTCTCTGAAAAAGTGTGACAACATGACATTTTGACAACAGTCCAGGAAATAGACTTCTTCGTAAATGTTTTTGTTGAGATTTCTTCGTCAATGAGCGTAAATCAGACAAAAATGAGTTTTGGTTGAAAAAACAGGTGGAGCCAAAAGTGGCTCGACCTCAAAACAAGCATTTCGTGAAGAATATACCAACCCGCGGAATTCCGGCGGTTGCTTTTTATACAAAACATTTACGAAGAAGTCTCAACAAAACAAGCATTTCGTGAAGAATATACCAACCCGCGGAATTCCGGCGGGTGCTTTTTATACAAAACATATACGAAGAAGTCTCAACAAAACAAGCATTTTGTGAAGAATATACCAACCCGCGGAATTCCGGCGGTTGCTTTTTTATACAAAGTTCAACGGGTGAAAGAATACGAAGAAGAAGTCTTGACAAAACATAGACAAGAAAGTTCATGAGAAATTAGATGAAGAAGTCTCAACAAAACAAGCATTTTGTGAAGAATATACCAACCCGCGGAATTCCGCGGGTTGCTTTTTATACAAAACATTGACGAAGAAGTCTCAACAAAACAAGCATTTCGTGAAGAATATACCACCTGCCGGAATTCCGGCGGGTGCTTTTTATACAAAACATTGACGATGAAGTCTCAACAAAACAAGCATTTTGTGAAGAATATACCAACCGCCGGAATTCCGCGGGTTGCTTTTTATACAAAACATGTACGATGAAAGTCTTGACAAAACAAGCATTTCGTGAAGAATATACCACCTGCCGGAATTCCGGCGGGTGCTTTTTATACAAAACATTGACGAAGAAATCTATCTCCTGTGTTGTTGTCAAAATGTCATGTTGTCACACTTTTTCAGAGAAGTTTAAATTACCTGGTGACCTGGTGACGTAGTGACGTAGTGACACCTAAAAACCATCTAACCTAAAATATATTTTTGCCGAATTCAATAAAAATAAAATGGTTCATTTACTCACAATATTTTTGTACAAAACGACCCCAAACTTTTAACCTCTCTTCTGCAGCTTCTAATGAAACTTTAGCGAGTTCATATTCTCTAAATTCTCTCTTTAAATCTTCTTGTTCCCATTGGTCTAGTTCGTATGGAGAATCTCTATAACCAGAACATATCTCATGTTCATGTTCTATTTGTTTTTCATGCATTTTTCTAACTTCTTCTTCGAACAAAGGTTTTGCATTCTCTACTGTATCTTCAAGTTCTTCTTCATCTAATTTCTCATGAACTTTCTTGTCTATGGAGTCCAGAATTTTTCCAACTGCTATACAATATTTTGGAGAAGCCCACATTGCTATATAGTTTGTAAGTCTTGGGTCTACATACGTTCCTCTAACCTGTTTGATTTCATCAGGAATTCCTGCATGAACTGTGTATAAAAAGCAACCCGCGGAATTCCGCGGGTTGGTATATTCTTCACAAAATGCCTTAAAATACTCTTCCCAAGACTTATTTTCCAACAACCTTCTAAAGTCTTTCCTAAACTGCTGACACATATTTGTTGCATTTATATAACCATCCTTGTCTCTACGTAAGACTTCAATACCGTTGTAAGTGCCTTTTGTGAATGTTTCGCCATTAGATTTGTTCGTGAACGTTTTTGCTTCGACTGTCATTTCAGTTCTTACAATAAAAATAAAAAATATTTTTTGGTGGTACGTCGGACATTCGTTTGTGGCTTAACCGTCGGACATTCGTTTGTGGCTTAACCGTCGGACATTCGTTTGTGGCTCGACCTCAAAACAAGCATTTTGTGAAGAATATACCAACCGCCGGAATTCCGGCGGTTGCTTTTTTATACAAAATTCAACGGGTGAAAGAATACGATGAAATTCATGACAAAACATTGACGATGAAGTTTATTTCCTGTGTTGTTGTCTAAATGTCATGTTGTCACACTTTTTCAGAGAAGTTAAAATGACCTGGGGACCGAGGGACCGAGGGACCTGGTGACCTGGTGAGATCTAAAATATATTTTTCAATACTTTTTCAGCACTTTTCCGTAGTTGTATATGAAAGACAATTCGAGATAAAAGTCATAGTACAATGGTATTATATGCTGCACACCGTTTGTTGTGAACCAAACTTGAAAGTCAGAGAAACTGTTACTAGGTGGTTCGTAGAATTTAGAAGCAAAGTCATAAAAGTCCTTACCGATACACAGAAAACTGTTGTTGCTTGAACTGAAACTTGCATGACACATGACATTTTGAGGGTCAAACACGTTTCTATAAACTGTCAAATCTGCTGGTGGAAGTATAAATTTAAATGGACCATCTGGTGGCAATGGTTCGTTCTGGTTTAGTAACCGAAGAAATTGTGCCCAAGAACGTCTGTCTACTCCCCAATATAAAAACTCTGTATCTCTTGGAGGGTTAATTTCAATCTTTTGAAATGAAACTGTGGAGTTCATCTTGTCGTATTCTAGCTTCAGATAGTATGTTCCATTTAGTAAAGAGTGGTATTTTTCTTGAAATTCCCAGTAGTATTTGTTTATTTGAGTTTGAAAGTCATTTAGAGTTTTTTCAAGACTTTCGTCTGAACGAATTGTAAAGATTTTCATTTCATCAAATTTTTCTATTAGACCGTCAGAACCTTTATACTGACCATGAAAATATACTGCGAACATGAATGCATTAGTTCTATTTGAAAACAAAACTCTTCTAAATCCTATTGCCTTTGCATCTGAAGGACTTTGAAGCCAACGAATTGGATAGTCAAACCTGTAAGATCGGGATGAAATTTCTTCATCTGAAATATTCCTACCAGCGTTTGTAAAGATATAGTCTAACGGTTTTGTATCTGCTACTTTTGTTCTTTGTTTTTCAACCTGAAGCATTTAATATATGTAAAAATATACTGTTTTAAAAATGTTTTAAAATGGTATGCAATTTTTTATTTCATGCAATGTTTTATTTCTGTGCCGTCTTCAAGTATTCCCCAATATTTCCTTTTCGATATTACATGAACTTCGGAAAATACCTTGTCTAGCTTAAAACAGCCCATCTTTTCACCGACCATTCCCATTTCAATGAGTTTGTTATAGCCTTCTTCGTTCGTCATGAGCGCATCGATGTTCTCATAGTATACCACAATTTTCGATTTGACATCGGAGAAGAATTTGTTGTAGTTGTCAAGGACTGCCTTTGCGAACTGAGGGTAAGACCAATGTTCGACAATAGGTTTTACTGTGGTTACTAAGCCATTTTGACCTTCGGTGAACTCGTATTTCAAAACAAAAGGAGAAAACCTTTCAACAAAGTTGTCGACCTTCTCATGGTGTTTACTCTTCATCTTTTGAGGTTTTTTAATAGAATATCCCCATGTCGAATTCATAAGCAATTTGAGTGTCATTGCAAGTTTGGGGTTTGAAGCTTTCCTAATATCATACATTTGTTGTATGACTTTTCCAACTGTATAGTTCCTTCCCGGGAACTCACCTTTTTCGTTTGGAATTCCAGTCGGAATATATTGGACAAACCTCATGTACGCAGCGTTAAGGTCGACATAGTATATCTTTTCGTTTGAGTCGAACTTGTCGCAACCAATGGGTCCAGTTCGTGGAAATTCAAGTGAGTCTCTTATCTTTTGAGAAACTTCTCCTGTTATCTCATAAACATCGTCGAAGCAACCTGTTTCATATAAAACCTTCTGACCTAACTCAGATGCTCTCCAATACAATTTGACGTCAATTGGATGTCTCAATGGAAGTTTGTTTATAGCATCTTGAAGTTCTTGCAACCTCATTGGAAGTTCTTCTGGTTCAGGTTGGTATCCGAACAATCCAACTCCTTTTGGAACTGTGTACTTCTTTTGTGCTATAACTTTGTCTGGAACAACTTTTGGTCTTGCTAACAATGAAAAGTTTGTTTCGTCTTTTGGTACAAAACTTTCTGTCAGCTTGTCATCTGGAATTGGTTCCAACAAGCCTTTCTCGAAAAGAATGTTAACAGCTCTGACAATGTTGCACTTACCTTTTCCGAACAATGGGTTTGTAAGACTTTCGTTCAACATGAAGTGGTTGTGGACAAGTACAATCTTCAACCATGGCAATTTGAAGTCAACAACATAGTCGTCATGTGAAGAACCTTTCTCAGTCGGTATGTTAACGCGGATATTGACATTTGCCAACGGTGCAATTTTTGTCAATTGACTTCTGAGAATGTACCTTGTTTTCACACATGACTCAAGATACTTCACTTCTCATCTGTAACAAGACCAGAGTTCCTGAGACATGTAAGAATACAAGGTTCATTGACAATTGTTTCAATTGAATTGTAAATTCCATACCTTGTCAGGTTAATGTCAGACTTATTTCTGAACGGGAAGTATCCAGCATGTTGTCTGACTGCTTGAGGGTTGGGTTGGTACCATTCGAACTTCACGCTTGCAATTCCTTCAATTGCATTCAAAATATCTGAGTCGGAGTCAAACATTTGTTCTCTCTTTGTAGTCTTGAAAGCGTCAAGAAGTTGTGCGGCTGTTGTGACATTGCCATGTGCATAGTAAATATGACCATCCAAATCTTTTACGGTTAGTCTGAGATTGTATCCTTTCTTATTTCCGTCTTGAATTGCAGCAAGTACACCCATGAAGCCTTCTTTGTTCTTTCCTTCGTCAAAGTTTACTGTAAAGGTTCGACCAGAAGTAATTTTACTTCTAACTCACGATACTTTTCATATGCATATCTTGTTCTTTCCATGGGAGCATGTGCGTCTTCACCTTTTCCTTTTTTCCTTCTCAAAGGATGCAATTGTTCGTCATGTTTCCAGTAGAATCTGGCAAAGCCGTCGTGTCCTTCAACTTGAGCTCAGTAACATCGAAAGGCATGTCCATAAGACGTTCTTCTTCTAACCTCTCTAGTCTGTTTGGATAATTTGCGCGTGCTGTTTCTAGTCCATTTCGTAGCGAAGACCAGACAGTTTGTCATAGACTTTTATCTTCCCTTCCTATATTTAAACTTCTTCGAAACTCTCCAACCATATCTTTCTAACTCTGCTTTTATTCTAGCAGATTTTCTATCCATTCTATATGGGGGCATTTTTATAAAAATAAAAAAATATACTGTTTTAAAATGGTATGCCATATAGCTTCTTGAATTTGTTAAGAAATATTTTAACGTTTTTTCCATCTGTATCTCTAGTGTTTACATAAGCATAGCCTTCCTTAGTAAAATATACTTGTAATTTCCTATAGTTTACGCCGGTATAAAAGTAGAAAGAGTCTTGTTCTTCGCTATAGTAGTAAAACTCAAACGTATGCTCGCCATAGTCTGTAATTTCAATTGTTTCATCTTCTAGTTCGTCGACAAATTCGAATACAATATCTCCAAATTTGCCTATGTTCTTACTGTTTTCAGAACAAGTGACCCAACGCAAGTTTTCAAGTCTATTGTCGTTTCTTATACGGTTTATATGGTCTACAAAAGGTAAATTGTTAGGGTTCGGTATAAAATGAGTTGCAATGACAACATGTTTTAAATAGCGTTTCCCACTCATATTCATAGTAGCATATCCGTCATTTCGCTCACATTCGCTTAAAACTCTTTTTGTCTTTTTGTTTCTGACTTCAAATGACTCACAACAGTGAATTTCATATTTCTCATCTAACAAACAAGTTTCCCAACGGTCTTCTCCAACAAACTCAGCGTACATTTCAAATAAAATAAAAAAATGTTTTTTTAAAAATATTTTGTTTTAAATGGTATGCCATTTCATATTTCTCATCTAACAAACAAGTTTCCCAACGGTCTTCTCCAACAAACTCAGCGTACATTTCAAATAAAATAAAAAAATGTTTTTCCTTTACTTTACATAACCACTTGCTGCCATAAGTCTTTGACGCCAACCCATACCAGCTAATGAAGGTTGACTTGGTTTAGTTTCAATACTAAACTTTGGTTTTGGTTTATCTTCAGTTTTTGGCTTCCCTTCTTCTATTGGTTTTTCGTCACTTTTCGGTTCATCTGACTTTACCTCACTTGCTGGAACAGTTGTGTCGTCAACATCTTCATAAATATCATATGCCATCTGTTTCTGTTTTCCTTTCAACTTTTTGTGTTTGTTGTAAAGTTTAGAATATTTCGACTCTAAGTCAATGAGATGTTCTATAATGAACTATTGGTCAGTGAAGTAAACTTTTCCATCTGTTGTCTCATAAACTCCTTCAGACTTCAATATTTTATTTGTGAGAGTCTGTTTCTTTTTTGAGATACTTGCCGTTCCATTTTTATGAAAAGTGACTTTGTAGTTAGGGTTTGTATTTCCAGACCTGGCATTTTCTATTATTGAATTTTTCTCTTCATCTGTAAGTTCTTTGACAGGTTTTGACAATGGTTCTGAACTTTTTGTTTGTGGTGTCAAATCTACCGTTTCAACTTCTTCGGTCATTTCATCTCAGTAAAAAATTTTAGTTTGGTTTGTTTTCAACTGGTTGTTGAGGTTTTTTAAGTCGGTCTAAAACTTCCTGAGGTATAGGAAGAACTTGACAAACACGTGGTTGTGTAACTGCTGGAAGCCGACAAAGCCATCTTGAGCCCATTTGTCTCAATGCTGTATTGTTCATTTCATCTCAGTAAAAAATTTTACATTCCCCACGTTTGAGGTGGTTGAGGTTGGTTGTTGTTTACCCACTGTTGTGCATGGTTATATCCTCTGTTAAAGAATCTTTCACCTTGGTCCATGTAGTGTCCTGCTTGGTTATAGTAGTCATTTGCTTTGTTATAGTAGTTTCCTGCTTGTCTTCCTACATTGTCCATCCATCCTTGAACTTTTCCTCTTGTTTCAGGATTTGGAATAAGATTTGCTGCATCTCGTGCTACCTCCCAACCTTTCTGTACAGTTTGTATAATAGGTTGTGCTTTCTCTTTCAGTATACCTAATGTACTCAAAATCTTCCTTCCAATTCCAAATGCACCTCTGGCTATTGTTCCCACTGCGGGCAAAAATCTAGATGCGACTCCTGCTAATGCGCCAAATAAACCCATTTCTTATGGGTTAAAAATGACGAATTCAAACAAGGACCCGTATGTTTCTAAAGCAACAAAGAAAGCACTCATGGTAAAAATCTTTAGTTCAACACCAAATGCTTGGTTTATGGATATCTTGGAAAACATTCCGAGGTATAGAGAAGATGGACCACCATACTGGCTAATATTTGTTGGTCAAAACACAAGATACTGTGAAGCCATACCATTATGGTCCAAAAATATTTTAGATGTGAAAACTGCTTTGACAATATTCGTTGACAAATACCATCCAACAAAACTGACATCTGACTATGAAAGTTCTTTCAAATCAGACAATATTAAAAACTATCTGCGTTCAAAAAATGTAAACCAATATTTCATTGTCGACCAAAACCATTCTGCTCTTGGTGTCATTGACAGTTGTATAAAAATCTTAAGAGACTTAAACCAACCACAAAGTGGTGAAGCAAATGAAATGTCATATGACGACAAGTACAGACACTTCTCCATGGCAAAGATGAGACAAGTTTTAAATATTTACAATAGCCGTAAACAAAAAGGTTTGGGAAACCACTCCCCGAAGAAATGAAAAACAACCCTGACTTAGAGAAAGACTATATATTTAATAGTTTAGTCAAAAGAGACAAACAAGAAAGAATGCCGGGCTTCAAACTTAAGAAAGGTGACAAAGTAAAAATAGAAATACCTAAACGCGACCCATATGAAAATACTATTGACTATGACAACAATGGGAACCGACAGGTACTCACATTCGTGTTCGTAAAAATAGAAGAAAGTATACAAGAGAATATTATGAAGTTTTAGGCAAACATGGCAAAATGTACACACTGCAAGCAGAAGATAAAACTACTATTGTCAGACCTCGTTTCAAACTTGTCAAAGTTCAAGGTGGTATACTTTCAAAGACAGTTCCTAACAAATATAAGACAACTCCTGACGAATATGCTAAAGAAGTTGAAAATGACGACTAAGCATTTCTATACCATGCGTAAACTGTCATGTAAGGTGGCATGTAGTCTTTACTTTGTCCCGTTGTTTGCGTATACCCTGAAACGCGATGTATATGGTTTCCTCCTCCCTCAGTGTTACTCCAGTAACAATCTATAGCAAACTTAACGTTGTTTTTAACATCATATCCTTTACCTTTTGTCATTGATGACCAATCCCAATATCTATGCTTATGCCAACCTGCTTGAGATGTACTTAAATCTATGTAGTGACTGTGTGCAGGTAATTTTCACCTGAAATCGTTTTACTTCCACCTGTTTCCTTTGAAGAGTTTGCACAATACAAAAACCTGTCGACT